TTTCCCTAAGAGATTGATCATTGCCGCACGCTCTATCTTATATATTCCCTAACTGTTATACTACGTTTTGTCCCTTCGTTTCCCAGGTCTGTCCTTCTGTTCCCATGAAAAATTAAGTCATATGTTTGTTCCCGTGACGCCACATGAGAACCATTTTATATTTCTCCAGAATCCGCTAATTCAATAATTCTTCTTCTACCCATTATACTGTTTCTTATATAATACTTTTTCATAGTCAAGGAGATTTTGAAATATTCTACTTGCTTCTCCTGCTGCTGACCATCAGGGTTTTTACCTGTGTGGATATTGAACTCGAGCGAGATTCCTTCAACTCCTGTGATTGTCATTTGGCACTTTGCACTCAAGTATTTTCGCTTTTAAGGTTGCATGCAGGTAATTTCTATCCTTATTTCTATCCTGATATCCTCATGACATGAGCTGTCGAACTCCCTATCTTAATTTTCGACTCACAACAATTTGCGTCTTCAATCAACTACGTGTTTCCTCGACAGATCCTCAGTCCATCCTATAATCTTGTTATGCCGACGTATTCCATTATCTAGAGACGTTCAAGCGTCCTTTCTCTCTGTTTCCTACAATCACAATATAATTTGTTAACAAAAAACAGTGTTGCGTAGTTTATTTTTTACATCTTAAAACCATCAAGCATCTCATTGAAGAGTTCTCTTACGACAATTTGTCGAAATCGTTCGAAGGGATCGGATAATTCCATTTCCATCCTCTCATGATGTCCTATAAGGATTTAATATATACTGAGTTCGCAGTTTTACATTACACAAACGATGGGCATTAAAATGCTCTATAGATGTCGGCAGGAGCTAGGTAAATAGAAAAAGAAGGGACAGTGGGTGCCCTTCCAAAGCTTCAAAGTCCACTAAGGGCCTTGGATTATAGAAACGTCTTTAAAGTGCGGTCTATCATTTCGTCGTCTTCTCTCTCAGCAATCGCGAGGTTGTTAAACAGCATACGTTTACTTCCATACAATAACATAAATACAGCACAATCGTAGCTGACGTTTCGGCAGAATCGCCTTCTTGTGAGCCGCTTTTTCATCTGTCTTCCACCGAGGAAGAACAGCCGTTCAGAGTCGCATATAGTTGACGACTGCCTTTGCCTTTGACGAGTTGACTTTTATTTTTCTTTTCTTAGGAAAACTTTAGTAACTTTGTGCGTTCTACATTTTTTCATTTGTCACTTGCCCCTACAAGATAGCGTAAATTTCTTCAAGGTGTCAAATATGATTAATGTACAACCCTTTTTGTGATCGAATATATTTTCAAAGCGAAACTCCGACGGTAACCATCATTCATACGGTTTCCTCAAGCAGATTTCGTTGTATTGAACGCTTAGAAGCTCAGATAATATTCCAACTTATCGCTAGCACGTACGGAGCATCCCTATGATTAGAAAAGTATTCGAATTAGGAACTACTTAAGGCGAACCTTCTGGGACCATTTTAAAACCACCACGTACGTTTATGTTTGCGCTGAAAAGTACAATTTTTCCACACAGATTCCTCGCTGACTATAATAATCACCTTTCTCCGCACAGGACTTCATTTGACACCGCAAAGACACTAACTGTTATTTCAGCTTCATTGTTCGTTCCATTGCTACGCTACCTTCTAAAGTATGTATGTGGATTGGTCGAAATGCAGTTTTTGCACGAACTGTTTAGATAATGTATTCCGTGAATTTCGTGTGTAAACATACTCGGCACACCTAGCCAATCCAATTTTGTCTCAAACCTTTGCACGGCCTTACAATATTAACTAAAATAGTTCATCAGTAAGAGTATCCACAGCAAAATTGCTGACAATAGCCAGGAATTGCTTCGTATTCTCATACTTTCATGTGATTAGTGTCATAATGATGCCGAGATTTGAACGAAACGTGAAACATGAGTTGGGCTCCGGATCCACGATTACACTTAACGGAAGGATGACGTGCTAACTCCTATTTTAAATTTATAACTCCACCTCTCCAATTCTTTGCCTGTTTAGGATCAAAGCTCTTCTCACGTTTCTTTTCTTTTGGAATCGTTTTGACGTTTTTAAACGCATTTTCATTGCGCCAACTAACATGAAGCAGATATAACGATAACTCAGCCAATTTCTTTCTATTGATTTCTTCCTATCAAAGACAGGTCGTTTAATTCATCTTGCGGCATTCCACGCTGGTACTATTATCATCTTCGCCGTCGGATTACAAACGTGACAATTTCAAATTTTCTCAATTTCCAGGAAAAAAATGCCAGTCGAAAAAGATAATATGTTCTGGAAGGCGTTACTCGAGCACAAAGTACCGAGGAAAAAACTGAAGAAGAAAAACGCAAAGCTCAGCAACTCCAAAGAACTGTCTCTCAAATACGGTGTCAGCAAGCATGACGTCGAAAAGGTAGGCACTTCACTGAATAACAGGTTTTGAAACGAAAATTCGAATGCTCTTGAATTAGCTAGCTCTTCTTCATACATGGTCCTGGCTTAAAACGGTAGAGGTAGCGCAATACTAGAGGTGCATTGCAATACACAGATTGCCTTTTGTTCAAACCCGTTACTTGGACTGACCAAGAAATCCTCCATCCTTCCAAGTTTGGTAGGTTGGTATTAGATTTGTCCAAGGAAATGCATACGCTGATTTAATACTTTTCTAAACCATTGTAACTCTTTTAATATATGGACCAAATATGCATTCAATCGCCTCTATGGTGCTTAATGGAGTCGAATCATTGGACATCCTTTAGGAATTGCATGACGGCGAATTCTTTATCCCTCATAGACTGGATTCAAATACGTCCCCATTGTCCTACGCGTATCTTGAAAAGAAAACCAGTAAATGGAGTCCGGGTAGGCCATATGAAGTGTACGAATGTGAAAGATGTCGTTTGATCAAATCCGCAACGTGGTGGCTATTTGAGACCTACATGTAGCCTATAAATCGCTTCTTCTCGACTGGTTTTCGGACGTACTAGAAGTCTGGCCCAAAAAAGAAACATAACAGATCTCCCTAATTTCGTTATAGTTTAACAGAAGAGTGACTACTAATGTAATTATACTACGAGGGAATATCGAGTAAAAAGACTCTTACTGGATCGGTATCGCATCAAAAATAAGAGAATGGGACAGTTCAGTTCTATCTAGCCTTACCTAAATAGACTTATGCAGTTTCCCTCATATTGGGTCTAATATAGCATAGTAAAAAAAAACTTTTTTATACTTGCTGTATTTGCTGTAACAATACAATAGAATGCGCAAATATTGATTTCCTCCTTTTTCTTTGAAGGCTTCTCGTGTAATTCACTGCTTTTATTCGGTAAGCAAATACAAGGTTGGTATCATAGAATTTATTAGCCCACAATGGCTGACATTTCGGCGGTTTCGCCTTCTTCACTTCATTTAATACTAGTACAGATGCTTACCTGCTAAGGTTATGAAAATGTTTCGCTGAGTAGACCGAATGTAAATTTGACCCATCCACGGAATGCGTAGCGCACCCATCAAGGATTGCTCAACGCAGGACGTTTCTTCCTTTCTACTTTTCACATAGAAATGTGGATTCTTTACAAGAATGCACTATCGGAAGCACAAATGAAGCCCTTAGTATCCATCCTTCAATCACATCATGGCCATTGTGGCGCCGTAAACTACTGATAGTGTTCAATGTCCTTGGAGCAAAATGTTGCGATACATGCGGAGTTAAGAGCACTTCAATGGTTCTACTTTTTATTCGAGTGTTTGAAATATACCGTCTACCTGTTACAAACGATAGAGTGAAGGCAAAAACAACACTGCATGTCTAGTCACCATTATGTCATTCTTGTTTTTCTTCCACGATCTTCTTTCGCTGGCTAGAAACTTCTTCTTTTTGCTTGGAGATTTGCTCAAGTTTCATATCAACCTTATTTTTTTACCCCTTTGCCCATTAATAAAGTCTCCATCCTTCACGGTTACCTACCAGCTCCCTGTTTGGTTGTGCCTCATCGTTCAATCTAAAGATCTTCTCTTTTTTTCTAGGAACTTCATTAATAGACGTGCATTTCGTGGGACCACTGTTAACATGCATTGTGATCACTCGGTTGTTTGCTTTACTGTAACGCATTCCGGAACGTTCTCGTCGGTGGTTCTTGTTTACCAGTTGGCGTTAAGATGCATCGCATATCCGACCTTCGTAATTTCGTTGGCGTCTTGACATGCGCAGCAGCACCTTTGATTTGTTGAGTGAAATAGAAAACTCAGACTCTCACTCATTTTCGTCATATCGTACCAGACAATACTATTATTATCACCATCTTCATAACGCTCTCGTTAATGGTGACGGCACATTTATCAAGCTTACGCAACGTTCAGATTTTTAAAGGACTTATTCAGAAAGAAGCAATCATGACATCGAAGTAAATGGACTCGGGTGCTTTTTGTTATTGTCACACATCTTCGTAGCTTTTCAAGCTCCATAAATTATCGTTAATCGCCTTTAATTACGCCATAGCATGACCACGCATCCCCTGTGACTGATTCATGTCGTCCTTCAACCTTTAAGAGTCAAGTCACCCTGTTTCACTTACACCATAAACGCATAATGTGGAGTTCATTCCGATGATGGCCCTTCTCACATCCATCATCATCATCGCTTCAGTCGCTTCATCTCCAGAGAGTCGTTGAGAATGGCAGAATTTTAGTGGCTCAAGTGGTACGTTCAAGTGGTATATGAAAATGAGCTATCAACATTAAGGGAACAAGCATTTCGACGCCATGGAGGTATTTTCCGAGCTGTCAAATGTCTTACTGTGATATGAAATTAATACCATTGTTCAATAAGGAGTGACTATGAAACAATATCGTTCGTTTTCCTTGGCTTCCTGAATTTTCCTCAGACTCTCTCCATCAAAAAAAGTTCTTATTTTTGTCTAATTATATTACGAGGATCTTTATTTCTTGAATATTTATCTATTTTGTACTTTTATTAGAATCATTATATCTACAGTTAATCGCAGCCAAAAGCGAAACGGATGAGCGATCTACAAGCAATCAAATCATAAAAGAACTACTGATGCGTCCTCTTTTAGACATCTCAATGTTTAAGCTAAAGACTCTCCGTTTCTAGAAGTTTTTCAGAAATCCGTTCATAATCCAGAAAACGGTAAAGTTCTTAAGCAGAGTCAAAATGTTATGGTAAGATGTTGATTACTAGCAACGATTTTATGAATTCCTAATGGGATTTTTTCCAGTTGAACTTTCCTTTTACTCAAACTAACGGCTTTTTAAAACACCCTGCACTTAAGCATGATTGTAAACTCTAACTAGCTGAAAGAAGCACGGTCCACGAGGTCTAAACACCAAACCATTCAATACTGGATGCGCTCACCGTTTTCGTTAGGCATGAAATATCAGACATTTAATAAGTACCGTATGGTTTCATTTTCCAGGTTAAATTTTCCATTAAAAAGGGCATTGTATTCTTCTTGACTCAAAATAAGTTCAGCACTTTGGGCTAAAAGAACACTTTTTTTCACTGAAACACACTGAAGCTTCTAAGCCAGCTAACTAGCTCTCCATCAAGAAATCTAAGAATATCCCAAGTACCATAAGAAAACTAACCAAGCGCTTAGGAAATGTATCCTTTTTTCTGCTGTACTTTGCTTATCAAAACATATGGACATTTCCACTTTTTGATGAACACCTCACATGTTGTCTCCGAAATCAATCCAGAAATGACTTCAGAAAATGTCCATTCAATAAAAATCCGTGGATATCTATCCAATTCTTCCTTTTCTGAAAGACGTCACATAATCCATAGAAACGTAATATTTAAAATAATGGATATTTTTGGAATTTTCAAATGACCCAATATCACATAATGTGCGGATCCCAACACTTCCTTAGCACTTACGCGACGACGTGACTAGCAGTCATTAGGTGCGAAAATAATCACAACCTTCAACCTTAAACCAACAGATCTCACATCAGCTCAAAGTTAATTTTATTAGCTGCAGTCAAAGATTTCAAAATCTACAAATCCTTGTCTACAGTATATTATCCTTCCCATTTTCGGCTTATCGATTTCGTTCCCGATCTAAGTTCCGATAATGAACTTAAATCGTGTTACCAGTTTTGTAAAAGTTTTAACGCTAAAAATATTTAAATTTAGAAAGACACTGTGGAAAAGCTATAAACTCTATCAATGCGAAATGCGATAGAGAAAAGTCCTCTCTATAAATCTACAATGTTCCGAACTCTTGAAATAGCTCAGAATTACCGAAATTATCTTCAGTTATCGAAGGACCAACTTCATCTCAAAAGGTTTAACCAGATTTATTTTCCTCGAATTCGCCGTACGAAAGTTTTCGGAATCGCGTATGTGTGCGACTGCCGCTTGAGCGTGTTGGTCTTGTTTATGAATGTCGTTTAATGCTGGCTGAGTGAATTCTCCTTGGAATCAATCGGACAGTCGTGTTAGGGGACCACCAAGTTTTTGCCACACGCAGTCAGCGGTCTTTCGAAGTTAGATGGAGCTTCTAGCAAACAAGACTGTGTCAATTTTCCGACCCCGGAGGGATGGAAGGCTTGGTTGCCTTGAGGTAGGATACGAATCAGGGTGTGGACTTGAAGTATTCTCTAACGGCATCAAATCAAAGTAAACAAAGGAGAACTTGACGATGTACAGCAATAATAGTAGATAACAGCAATTTTTAGGTGTACAAAATTTTCGTTGCAATGGATGATGACGGCTCTGGAACAATTACAGCCAACGAGGTATGCAACAAAACTGTTTGGTCATAATATTGAGTTTTCATTTACCATCTATTGTTATTTTTCATGGAAAGGTATGATGTGAAATAAGATCACTATAATGCCGAGATATTTCCACAACTTGGACAGTAGGCCAGATTCGAACCTGTGATTACCCTGTCCGAGAGCTTACGTTTTAGCCACCGCACACTGAGGCGCATGCTCTGCCTTTCTCAAAATCTGCGGTCCAAGTTTCGCAAATAACTCAGCATCATAGTGATAGCATTTAATCATATTTTCTCGAGAGACACTGGGAAACACTGGAGTGTTCGTTTTTAGGTATAAATGCCTATAACAAAAGACGACCACAATGACAACTTTTAATGGGAAAGAAATAGTATGACAAGTTCCCCACTTTACAAAAGAATTTGAAAATCGTTATTATCTCAGTGACGATTAGCACCTCGCTTTCTTCATGTCGAGATCAGCATGTAGGATTTTTTCAGGGAAAAAGCGAAGCTATGCAATTTAGCCCATCGAATAGTACAATGGACCCTTTGATATTCCAAAAATGTTGTCTACCCATGACGATCTGAAACGATATTGTTAAACAGCTTTTCTCCCACTTTAGTTCTTATCTCCATCTATTTTATCTTCTTAAAGTCCTATAGTTTTAGAAAAGACGTTGTCGTGTGAAATACCATCTACATTCAAGTAAACATTGTTCGGCAAACATAAACTGGCTTAGCAAACTTCCAAGAACCTAAGAATTAGTGCTGAGGTTTCTGCAAATTTGGCCCTGGGAACTACTCCAAAAAGGTAATGAGCACTCAAAGTACGACCAGCTTCAGAAAAGTCGTAGTTGATTCTTCGAACTTCACTTTAAGAGAATTCTTCCACACAATGTTATCGGTGGTGGTTTTCTCCGTAAGTAATCAACTTGTCCAGAGCATCATTTCCTACCCTGTCCACCTCGCTCCATTCACTCCACTTGTTTGTGTTTGGAAAAAATCAGCATCGTCATCACGACTAAATAATCTTTGGTCTCGTTTTAAAAATTAGTGAACCATCGCTAAAGATTCGGCAAGAGATTTCGATTGTCTATTAGAGTATCAAATCAATGCCGGAATTCTTTGATGATCCTAACTGGAACTTCAAATTACAATTTTAAAGAGCATATCTAACAGGTACACATCTTAACCAGAGTTAATAAGTCTAGTAATCTTCGAACATGGAGTCTTGTTCTAATATCTACTGAGAAATTTTGAGATCAATTTTTGTCCAGTCTTGATTCAAATCTTTTTTCGTTCTGGCTCTAATAACCAAGTATGATAGATGACAAGACGAAAAGCTACTTCACTGCTCATGCCAAAAAACACAAGCGTCTAGGTGGACGGAGAAGTCTCACGAAAGCCTCTTTTCTAGGACAACAAAGTGCCCTCGAGTGCACATAAACAGGATCACTCACTATAAACCTCTGCTAAAAATAAATCGTACAACCGCAATCATGTAGAGAGATAAACAGGAAAGGTATAAGGAAACCATCATCATGCATCAATGTTACTTACTTGCTGAGTAGTTTAGTTGACCGCGAAGCGAGTAGAGTGAGATCACCATCTTCCTTTATTCCGTCTGAGGTACTCAATGGGTACCCTCTAATTAAAGAACAAGAACAATTTCGTGAATCGCTTTCAGAACGCTCATAAACAAGTGCATCTGATCCTGACTTTAGCTCACTAATCCTGTCTGCATGATGCCAAAAAGAGAAGAAGAACAATTTTTGCAAGTACCCCAGCAGCTTCTGGCTGTTTGATCGTGGTCTCTTATCGTCAGTAACTTTGGATTAACCCATGTTCTGGTGAACTGGTGAGCTCAACAAAAGTTTATCGGCCGAACACTAAATTTATGGGATTAGAGTTCGTCAAGTTTCCGGCTGATGATCTTCGCTTCAAACTCAGTCACTCCATCGATGTCTGCCTAGCTTAATACTTGATACTTGATACTTGAATTGCCCATCCTCACTGGTTGTGTGGGCACCAGCACAATCTCCATTTTCGGAGATTTGCTGGTTAAGCCGTCGCGGTTCCCCGGAATCCCAAGGTCAGCCTGGCCAATGTCTGCCTCCGGTCGTCACCATCACAGGCAGTCGCAGCCTTTGTGAATCAGAGGGAGATTTGCCACTATGCGACTTTAATACCAGGACGGTGGTGCACCCTGGTATTGGCTTACTTTTAGCTAGGCTTCCTGATGGAAACGTCGGACTCCTTCTCAGCTGGGGAGATCCTGCAATGAGGATGAATTCCCCCAATGTACATCGCAGCCCTACACCCAGGAACACCTCCCACTACGATGAGGCGGTAAACCGTTGGGAGAATCTGTCTAGCGCTCTCTTATAAATGAGGCGCAGAAGTATACGTGAAAGGCTGAAATATTGCTATACATTTTCCATTACAACCATAGCGATACCTTTCTACAATGATTAGAATCTAGGTGTAAAATTTTTGTGAATAAGAACGGAAGAAAGCCACAAAGTTACGAAGCGTTTAAGTGAAATTCCCGCCCATGAAATAATGACTACCTTTGCATTGCACCCTCAACGCATGGACTCTGTATAACCGATGTATTGGTCAAGAAAGAACTGAATAGTTATATTGGCTTTTTCTTGTAGTTCCCTTTGTACATACCATTTCTATGTGGATGATTAGGTTGCGCAAATGTTATGTGGATTCGGATGTGACGTTTCGCCGAAGGTCGTACAGGCTGTGATGCGATCATCCGATAAGAGCGGTGACGGCGAGATTGACTTCGAGGAATTTCTCGCCGCTATCACGTCAAAAATTAAGGTATATAGAACATATATATTAATAAATTTAAAGCAGGTTACAAACCACAAACACCAGTTCCCGGTGTTAAGAAAAAGTATTAAGATGGCAGAGATATGAATAAGCAAAGTGGAGGAATTTCTCTTACCGTAGCTTTCGGTACTAATGCTACTTGTTTCGTTATTCTCCCAATGAAGCGTTCTTTACAATTCCCTGGTAAAACGCACATATTCTACTTCTACACCTTTTAATGCAAGATTTTGGAACCTGCCTTAAGTTAAAATTAGACATTGACAGTTTCAATTACGATGCTATCAAAGAGGATTCTAACTTATAACAATCATTCTTCTCTCTTTCTTCTTTGCCTCTATCATATTCTCTATCAGCAGCAACCATCCTCTATTATGAATCCGTTGGTTGCTTTACCAGCATAAATAGTTTCTGAAATGTGAGATAATTCTTTCATCTATTTGAAAACGGCTCTCGACAACCGGTTTGGGCCCAAAGAACGTTCATTCTCCGATTTTGCCCTTGAGTCCAGACCTCCTCTATCAACTTACTTCCCTTGACTCCTAAAATGTCTCAAAATGCACTTGATAAGTCTCTTCGGTAAAAAAAAAGAAGTGTTTTCAGTTAAATGACTGCAAAGCTGATATACACGCTATGTTTGATAAATTCGACAGGAATAAAGATGGATTGGTACGTTCTTTTCGCTATTGATCGTAAAACAGCATTGAAAAGAGGTCTGCACTAATACTTCTCTGGCATTTTGCAGCTTTCCGCTGAAGAATTGGTAGTAGCATGGAGTGAAACGTTAAAGACGAAAATAACTGTCAAAGAAGCCGCTGCATTAATACAACAGGTATAAGATATCTATCTAACGTAATCACTTTTTCACTTACTGCCTATTCTTCATCGCAGAGCATGATATGAAAGATAATCGCAATAATGCCGGGATCCTCCCAACGGTCTACCGCCTCATCGTGACTGGGTGTACCTAAGTGTCGGAATGCGATGTACAACGAGGGACTCGTTCTCTGGCAGGGTCTCCCAAGCTGAGAAGGGGTCCGGAGTTTCCATCAGGAAGCCTAGCTAAGAGTAAACCAAAACCAGGATCCACCACCGTCATGGTACCAAACTAGTCGCATGGTGGCAAATTTCCCTCTGATCCACAACGGCTACGACTGCCCGTAGTGGTGAAGACCTTAGGCAGACTTTGGCTAGGCTGACCACGGCATTCCAGGAAACCACAATGGCTTAGCCAGCAAATCTCCGAAAAATGGTGATTATGCTGCGGCCCGCACAACCAGTGAGGGCGGCTCGTTCAAGTATCAATTGCCCAATTATGTGGTATGCCACGTAAACATAATGATGTTAAATCTCTTTTTTTCAGGCAGATACCGACGGAAAAGGAGCCGTAACTGTGAACGAATTTATCACAATGTGTCAAACTGTTTGATAAACAAAGTTTCGCACTTCGCTATTAGTTCTAGTAATGACCAATTTATGTTTACTATACTCTGAAGCCGTTGTTACAGCCTCCAAATGTATCTACATGCTGCGGTGACCATTTATATGCCCGGTACAGTCGCCTTTACAGTACTTCCATGTTGATCTCCGCAACTAATAAAATTCTTAATCATGTGACAAACGTTTAACGTTTTGTTTTTGTGACAAACGTTTGAATACAATCTGACTCTACAAGTTTATAAAAGAACCATCATTGTACAGTTTAACAAGAACAGTTGTACAGAAAGTATTCACAGAAGAATAAATGAGACTGTACATCAGATCTCTATGCCTTCATATTTCAAAAAATCAACAAAAGGATTACGGCAAAAAAGGCATGGCTTGGACAATTAAAGCAATTGAAGTAAGAAAGGTAGTAAAATGAATAGAATGTGAAGAAAACAATGAAAACGACTTGGAACTATTTACAAAAACAACACCTAAAGAATAAATCCATTTTCCACTACATTTACAACATAGTAAATGAATATATCAATCCGCAATTATTACTATCCAATTATTAGATATAGCTCAATATGCCATGTCTACCTACTCCTTCGCATCAACAATTCCTCCGTTCGAAATAGCGAATGTGGCTTCGTTTTCAGGCATGTCCGGACTATCATAAATCTACGGAAAATAACTGCTTCATTCAATTAGAATACAACTGGCGAAATATGGATAGTTACAGACGTTTTCAACATTAATCGCAACCAAGTAAACAAAGGATGATGTGATAATAAACCAGACTGCTTAAATAAAGGCTATAAACTGTTACCTTAGCTATACGAGTCTCACCGCGTCCCTTCTTTAGCATAATACGAGTTGTGGACGCGTGTGCCAAAATGTGACCACCGATAGGTTTCTTCGGATCTGCCTTAACGAAACAGTGTCAGTAACTTCAAGATGTAGTCACTGCCGAATAAAAACGTGCTAGAATATTTAACTCATTTCAAATGAATAGTAGAGCGGTCCTTATGGAGCTCAATGCATCTCAGGTATGCCGAACAGTTCTCCCTTTGAGACTCAGATAAAGCTTTGCCAGTGGGTTCCCATGCCGTCAGATCATCAAATGTAGTCCTCGACTCTTTTGGAGCGAGGTTAGATACCTTGTCAATAAACCCCTTCTGTCCATTAGCGATTCACGGCACTGATGTATTCGTAGTTGGCCTCGTTCATAGAAAGGACGACGGTATCAACTGCTTCGGTTGCCCCAGATGGATTGGATCACTGCTGCACATCGTACGACGACGTCCACATGCAATATCATGTACGATTAAACGGGAAAGCATGAAGGAATACAGCTGCCATAATGTTTTGCCGAATTGAATACAAGTAGAATAAACAATCATCATGATACTGCACATAAGGGAATTAACAGTCACCAATGACCAAATATTAGACGGATAATTATTTAAAATTAGACAATCTTACCTGCCTACAAATATAGTTCTCTTGTAGAATAAAACTTTTTGAGGAAAGTTGCAGCAGATCTGACCTCACCTGGAATGTCATGCCGGCACCCGGATCGGCTGTCATTTGATTGCTAATGAATATGGCCACATTGTATTCTTCAGCTATCTTCTAAATTGTGAAAACTGCTGGAAATTTCAGAACAGTTACAGAAGGAAGACCTTTTTTTTCTTCCGTGAAACTAATAAGCATCATTGCAATTGACTAGTATAATTCAATAAATTTGCGCAAATTTGATTATTCAGAGATCCGTATACATTTGCAACAAAAGTAAATACGAAAGGGTTACAAAATATTTTAAGAAACGGCAACACCAACCTCTAAATGCAAGAAAATGCTCTGAGAGAATCTTCTTCGCGGTAAAATCTTGTTTTTAGTAAACCTAATTGGTTAAAAAACCATGGTATAATTTGATGGGTATCAATTGAAAGAATATTAAAAGTGTCAGGAAAAATCGGAAACAAAATTCAACAACATAACCATGTAAAACCTCAAAAATACTGCTTAAAATAGTACTTGAAGCCTGCTCATCATTTGAGCCAGCTTCTGTTGCCGCTCAGCCAGCTCACCTCGACCGGAGTAATCAACTCTAAAAGTGCAAAAAACTTAGAATGAAGATAAAGAACAACTATAAATCACTCACCTAAAAAGAGCCATTATCGAGTCTACGATAAGTAGCTTGAAGATACCCATCTCCTCATGAAACTTGGCAGCAACATAATCTAGCAGCTCCATCTACAACGATGAGAGAACTCGTATATAATGCTGAGATATTTGCAAAACTCCGGATCGCAGGTGTATGCGGTGGGGAACGAACGCGCTATTGTCCTTTCCGGGGAGTAGCACACTTCACCACCACACCATCCGGGTAAATAAAAGGTTTAAGATGAGAGAACTGTACTAACAAAAGTCCATTATCAAAAATCTGACTTAACAGCTGTATTATATACCAATTCTTTACCTGATGATCAGATGTAAAAGCTCTGGCATATAACACATTTTCAAGCATAGCCTCTTGCTCAATGTTGAATCTGTCACAAATGGGGCGTAAGCGTTCAGGTCGACTGAAATCGTACGTAACCGATCGATCCATTAAAAATGGTACAATATTTTTAGTAGTTATACTACTCACATAAACCTTAAAAAGAACAGAGTACTTACAACGTGTTCTCAGTGTCGATGAATATTACTTTTCCACCACGATAGTTGCCATTTGGTAATTGACAGGTGGCTAAAATTATTAACCAATAAATGAAAATCAGAACAGAAGCGTTTGCCGAATTCCTCCTGGATTCGCTAAGAAACATGCTAAAGACCATGAATATTCTTCCGTTTCTTCTTTTTCACCACGTTCTCAACTGAAATCGAATCCCAGAATGAATCCAATTCTCCCAGTGAAACGTGCTCACACCGGTATTGTAAGACCAGAAACACTTTTAAAAGAGATCAATAAAGGCTAAAAGGATAAAGCTCTCGGCGTTGACCAATCCCCGATGCATCATGCATATGACTTCTTCAAGCATCGCTTGGAGGTGATTGAATGCATATCTGGCATTTACAACAACCCGCGCTGGCCTACCAATGCATCGAGCCAGTGCTGCTATCCTCCCAGACAAGTCCGCCACCAAATCGCCGAGCCCGAAGAGATGGAAGGCGTGGTGGCCATGAGCGTAGGGATCGATTCCACGTGTGTGTTGCAGGACGCCTCCAACCACTGCGCCACACGCGCCTTTGTTAGTAAAAACCTAGGGAAACTAATAGTGGTTTCTTTAGAGTAAGACGACATTTTCATACAGTCTGAGCATAAGACTTACCACACAGTGTATGTGACAGCTGAGTTTTTCCAGTACGGAACTCTCCGAACACTTCGGTGATGCTTTGACTTTCAATACCTCCTCCAAGTAGCTTGTCGAACTCCAAACTTCCAGTTGATATTTTGAAACACTGCTTACGCCTTGTGCACACTTCTAGTGCCGTAATGAAGCCATTCTTCTAAAAAAAAAGATGTTAAAAGCTCTTTCTTCTATGAAAATAAGTTCAACGAAAACAAGAACAACAAGTAGAGTACTTAAGCATACATAAGGCCGTAATCAGAAACAACATTAAAGTTGCTCACCATAATTTTACATGCTGCTTCCTTGATTTTATCCACTTTAGCTTCTGAGAGACCTTTCACTTCAGCTAAACGCTTCTTCGTTGTCATCATTACTCCTTTTACAGTACAAATTCCAACAGATTGTAGTTTTTTGATATCTGCCATGTTCTACACAATGTAATTGAATGAATAGAAGTCACCAAATGTGCTAAATAAACAAAAACCCTAACTATTCCATGGTTTTGTAGCAGCTCAACGTCCTGGATCTCGGCCTGCAATAGCCTCTATGAGAAAACGATGGGAGCAAACAGCATAAAACCAAACAAGGAAAACCAAATGTCAATTTCCTACGTCTTCATCGTCGGTGCATTGCTCCTCAGCTCGTGGTTTTTCTGCTTGCATGGAGACGACCATTTCTGGAATCTTCCACAGAGGAAATATTAAGAAAAACAGGACGTCTACCATGTTTCTGTGACTAGTATTCACGGAATTCAAAAAGATAACTGAACACCCATTTTCACGAATGAATTTGACCAGAAAATGAAATAAAGTAAGGAAAACTCATAGAAACAAAAAGACTAAGTCCACTTCGTAAGAAGTCGAAGTTAGTGAAACTATGGCCAGAAAAGTCGCGGCAGGGCCACATGAAGTTTTGTCACGACTACCCTTTAAACGTGTAAGTAGAAACTTAAATTCTATTCTTCCCAAGTTCCACCGGGGCCAAATTGCTTCTCTTTTTGTTACCAGTAAAGAAAATACCTCTCAATCACAGTACTCTTCCTAATGAAGACCATCTATGTGTTTTTGATGACCAGTGGACTTCATTACAAAACATTAGCCTATACATTACTTTCATATACTCCTATCCTCCACCTTTCATCTTCAGCATCTTTTATACGATTTCTTCGATAATCAGTAATATGACTAATATGTGACATTTTCTTCCACTTTCAAAGGGCACCAACTGACGAACGAAGGAAGAAGAAAGCCCGTTCATTTTATAAAAATTGGCCTCTATTTTCAAATCTGTATTTGTCAATAGTACAATAAAAGATGAATTTAAGCAGTTGAAGACAATCAAATTGCCAGCATGACAGATGGCTTGAAATGAATCCACCACTCTGCTGCTACATGGGTCCCGGCAAGAATTTCTGACAGAAACCTTCAGGTGACAGTTTCGAATTTCATTTTTTCATGCATACTTGGCATTCCTTGTATTTTGCCTATAAAGAGGAAGATAACAAGATTCCTCGTCGTGATTTTCGGATTTATGGTGTTCTTCGTCCTCCTACGTTCTATCCATATCCGTCCTGATGGACATAGAAAGATTCTGTCCATCCGAATGGGTACGAATAATGAAACCACTACTCAGCATCGCTCCGAAACCACTTCGTCCTCGAAATTGTTGCAGTTATGTTGTATTATCGATCGATTTCATCTCATTGGTTTCACTTATTCATTCCTGTGCGATAAAGCGCTCCACTCTTGGTTTTCGTCCTGTAGGCTTAGAAACCCTATATACCGCTATTAGGAAAAAGTTCTGAATTGATTTTAGTTCACAAAAGCACCCCATGCATCGTTTGGCTGCAAGCATTCTTTCGAAAAATCAATAGTCGCCTTTCCAACTTTCCCGCGTTCTCCTTCATGAGGCCATTTCTCCTATGCGTTCACAATGTATAACCTTAAGTTGTAATTGTAACCTTATGGATTCTGGTTCAAAGTGGGGAAACTATCCGATTTCTACTAGTTATGCTTACGTACTTTCCGGAAAGAATGTTTGAGATTTCAGATTCGGTGGAATTCTTATGCTTTCGTTTTATGTTGTCTTCGTCCTTGCCGTATTTGTCCTTGTTCGTCTTCGATTTCTAACATGTCGCATCGATTTATCCAAGAATAGCCAGAAATTTCTGTAGATCGCAATTGCATCGACACCCTCTTCTGTCCTGATGGCACTTTTCATGCTCATTTTTGTTGTCTACTCATTTAACACCACTAGCAGTGAGAGATCTTTACACTCTGCATAGTTGGATAGGAAAAAGTAAGGGTCAGAGGTCAAAGCCTGAAGGAAAGACTACCGGCGAGCGGTTAGTGTTACAAGGCGCCATTCTAATAAACCAATTTCTTGGAAACAAAGTATTTGTTTCCTTTAATTGAAATGCTCAATTAGTGCTGAATTCGTGGCTAAGCTGATAGGAAGTTCGACATTTCCACTTGTAGCCTAGCTCAGAGTAAACATATTGTTACGGCAGTCCCGGAAACGAAACATCTCCTTAAAAAAACAATGGAAATAGTAGATAGAATAGTAAAATTCTGAGGCTTTTTATGTGTTTCCAGCTAGCTGAGCTCATTGGGTAATCTGGCAGGCGATAGGAACCAATGGAACAAGTCTGCACCCTACTTTTGCGGCCCGAGTTACTCGATAATTAACGGGGTTACAACTAGTATGAGAGAACGGGAATACCTATAAACAGATTGCCTGTCACTTTAATGACCACATCAAACTCAAAACCTCAAGTTGGAACCTTGTATGTCCGCTGCCTTATCTTCTTTTCCACAACATTCAAAGCTTTCCTCTCCAGACACCGATCTACTATACCGTATGTTCGACCATATAGAATAAGAGGCTTTTGGAACGAGAACTGCCTCCTTTAGAGTTGAAGGTTACGAAATAAAAAAAAATCCACGACGGTAGCAATCTGCTGTCCGATACGAAACGAAAACAAAGGCGATAGACTCTTGGGCTTTATTCACTTTTCGGAGATTTGTTATGGTCCACTTGTGTTGCGCTCTCATACTATTTCCTCCATCTTTGTCCACTGTACCTCATCTGTTGTTGATCGTCTTCGAAATGGAAACAAAAGTTCCCAATTTACATCCTTGCCAAACCAGTGTCTCCAAAATGGAGAAATTCGATTACTTCAGCCTACCAGGCTAGGTAAGAGTAAGGAAACTTCTGGATTTGTTGCTTTCTGAACAGTACGTTAATCGCGAAACGTTCAATTTGGAGCAGCAGACCGGAAGGGAAGGGAGACTAAGGAAAAACCCAAACAATAAACATTCAGCGATAGGGTGAGATACGATAAAGCACTTGATTCTTCTGGACATTACTGCAAAAAAGCCATAGATACTTTGCACCTATGACGTCAAAACAGTGTTCTCGGTTCCCTGTTATCAGGCGCACTTTGGAGTTGCATACCACATGACACTAGCCGTTCTTCCTCTAGTACAAAAAGGAGCAAACAAGAACGAGATGACACTCGTGTGTAAACTCGATCTTAAAACACTTATCGTACATGAAGAGAAGATTCTGTCGGTAGATATGGGTGGAGGTAACTTTCTCGTACATCAGCGCACTCGTAGTTCTCTTATCTCACCTGGTCGTCTTCCGCTTCCGACTTCTGCGTTATCTACTAAATATCCACTTAGCGCTATCGTTTGGAAACAATTCTGACTGTCGTCTATGTCATGCGATAATCCGTTTCAATCGCATTTCAACAGGGAAAAGGCAGCAATGACGGGAAACATTTTGGGTGAAATCCTTCTCATACATGATTCGCATACAGACGGAAACGGGGCTATCATAAGAGTACAGATTGCGGTGAACAAGTAATTTTGCAGATTTTAACAGCATCTGCAACACTCAAAGGTTTTGCTAGGAAAAGCGAAAATTTATGCTTGAAGCGATTGCTGCGTACTTCTAGAGACTGTTGATTATTGATATAAGAAAACCGATACCTAAAAAACAATGTATCTATTGGTCACAGTCACTCAACGGTTGTATTTTTTTCACCAACTCTGCCGAACGGGTGCTGGTCCGCCCTTTCTTCTTCCTGAGAAGGAAGCAATCGCCATAATGTTCCATTCGTTCCTCTCTCTTGTTCTTCCCTTTGGTGTTAACTTCCAAAATTCTCGGTGGAGGAAGACCGTCCATGATTTCCTTTTCCCGAAATTCTGATGGCGAGGAATAGTTTGAAGAGTAGCATTGATTCGGAGCTAGGCAACGTCATGGTTGACTTTTAGCAAGTGAAAAACCGTCAACCACTTGCGCTTCTCGTAGTTTCAATTTTCCTTTATTCTCAAATAATGCTTGAATGTTATAGAAGGTCTAGAAAGGCTGTTAACGATGATCGTCCTATGGCGTATACGAAATGTTTTGGACGAAACCCGGTCATCTGATTTGGTCAGATCATAGCACTGATTGCGTTTCAAGGACCAACTCTATGTCTTCGTTAGGATCGCTGAAACCTGTTTTCTATCTAGAAACTTGTTTTTTGCATTATCCTTTGTGCGCATCGGAAAAATTTGATAGCATTGAGACGAGCGTAACCTTTCTAGCGCTTTTCGGCGCAACAATGGATCTGATGTACATAGTAATTCTAGCCTTAGAAGTTCTATTCCATTCTTTATACGGAAGACGACGACAGACGATCGTATTGCCTCAGCTTCATCGCAATAAATAATAAATTCACATTGTTGGAAAATGTGGGTATTCGGAGTGATGTAAATTCGTCATCTCCTCGAAAACTTTCGTGTTCTCAAAAGTATCGTGGTCTTCTGGAGCAGTACCCTCAACGTAGAGACAGTCTTCAACGTGCTCAACAAGTCGTTAGAAAGCTGTCATACGACTCTTACTCTTTAGCTCGTGCTGTTACCTTTTTTAAAATATTGCCTAGTAGCTTTTTTCTGTGGTTCCGGTAGTCAAGTAGTGGCTCAGATATCCAACAACAATCACTTAGTCAAAACGTACCGCACATTCCACTCACGATCACCACATTTATCTTATCAGGTGCCTTTTTTGTACTGTTTGCAGTAACAATTCGTGCTTTTCTAGAGTAGACTTAGAACTTAGTTGTTTTAGGCCGCCGAAAATCACCTCTCGTGTATATGAGAGTTGCTTACAAGTTGTCAGTCGAATCGAAGTGCTGGATACAGGATACAGTTTCCATGCTTATAAGCATAATCATGTAAACAATATGACTACTTACATACGGAAAGTGTAAGTCATTGGGGCATCGCATAGACAGTGAGCTGATCTGGGTCAACCTGCGTTTCAGAGCTAAGTTTAGGCGCTCCATATGGTTGCACAAATAACCTGCTCATGATCTCTCACATGAAGAAGACCATTATATTGTGAATATTTCTACATTCTGAAGCAGCTACATTGTTTAAACCATAGGAATTTACTTCAAATTTCCATAATTTCGAGTTCATTGTGAGCTGAGATTGTTCGCTACCGGTAGTTTGCTGAGGATATGCAGAGTTTTTTGACCACTTTGATGTTCAACTGAAACTTATCTGAATCACTATTTCGTTTCCTACTAAATTGGTGTGATTGATTACCGCACTTCTTGAAACGGGTTTGGTGAAAAACAGAATCTAGATAGATGAAACCAGTACTAGTTGTTTCTTTTGCGAACTTTCATTTCCTTGAACGCTAGAGCTGTCTATGTCGTGATTGAGTAGGTAGTTAGTATGTTCCAATTCCTGCGTTCCTACATGCGTTCCAATTTTTTCGTTCTTCAGTTCAACCGGTTAATCAACCTTGTCATATTTAGCAAATATGGTTATCGAAACGGAAGCTTGTCTTGAATGTAACGCGTCGAAAGCGTCAGAAAGTTGTAAAGTAAAGTGTATGGATACGAAATCACATAACGGTCCTACATGGGACTATATGAGCGAACTACAAATGGAGTTCGCCAGTCTCTCCACTCTGACGGATTTCAATCGAGTTGGTGCTGGGGTATGTCGGGATCTGAAATATTCGTTGTTTCGATCGTAGTTCTTGCAGTTCATTTACATTTAAGAGTAAAAAAAACCCTTTTATTAATGTTACTGTGTTATTTTAGGTAAAACCTCTATATGCATCATCTGAGAAAATAATATGCGAAATGACTGTTGAACCTCAGCATTTGAATGCAAAGGTAAATAGATAGTGAGAAATGAACGTTGAATAGGGAAGAACCAGTGCAGAAAATACCCAGTTAAGTGTTTATGACATGAATGGTCTAAAGGTATGAGCCAAACTGTCACGTACAAGTTAAATTTTGAGGTTCTCTTATACTGAAATTAAAGTATTCTTCCTTCTTTACGCAGTTTGGTAGTGGATATTTGGGGGATTTTGTTTAAGGTAGTTTTAAGACTACAATATTTCTTTAACTGTCCACGGTCTCAAGAATTTTATTTGTTGAGTAGAAGTGCTTTTACAAAAGTCGAAACTGAGTTTTTAGGGCACACTTCATGGTGGACAGACCGCTTCGCTTACAGATATTGTCACAGCCCGAGCCCTTGGACTTACCATCAGGGATCGAGCCATGGCGTCAATTGAGCTTTCTGTCAGGTATTTCTTCTACATACCATTCTTTGTAGTATGTCTTATCCATATCCACTCTATATTTATTCCATAGTGATGACTGAAGTTTACTGAAGTCGCAATAAATTTTCAACACCTTACTCATTTTACTACCTTTCCACGCGAGTTTTTCGTATTTTTGCCGATGATCCGAGTCGATGGTACTCGCTTGTTATTCGCCTCGACGTGGCAGCTTCGCCTTCGTGTCGAACTAAGTCTTCTTCAGTGAGCCATCTCCTCGAATGAGACATCCTTACTCAGTGATGCCCTTTAATGATAATGTCCGGTGATAACAACTTGTTTTTCTACCGGACATACATCATTGCGCACATCGTGCAGAAGTCGGTGTTGTTATCAGCTAGCACAAAGCGTAGTAATATTTCGAAATCGACTTTCCCTGAACCTCGGTATCACTAATCAATATGTATTCTTTCTTAGTATCTTTCTTAGTATTCTTTCTAATCATACGTTAGGCGAAAATAAACATCATTATCAACCTCGTGTAAGCTCATCAAAGAAAGAATACATATTGATTAATGATACCGAGGTTCAGGGAAAGTCGGTTTCGAAATATTACTACGCTTTGTGCTAGCTGATAACAACACCGACTTCTGCACGATGTGCGCAATGATGTATGTCCGGAAGAAAAACAAGTTGTTATCACCGGACATTATAATTATATCGACCATCAGCATCGTGTATAAAAGGGCATCACTGAGTAAGGATGTCTCATTCGAAGAGATGGCTCACTGAAGAATACTTAATTCGACACGAAGGCGAAGCTGCCACGTCGAGGCGAATAACAAGCGAGGACCATCGACTCGGATCATCGGCTCTGAGGAAGACGAAGACGTCGAAACGTTAGCCGAAAATAAACATTATCAATCTCGTGTAAGCTCATCAAAGAAAGAATACATATTGATTAGTGATATCGAGGTTCAGGGAAAGTTGGTTTCAAAATAATCTTGTTGAGTTAATGCGATGTTGGTATAAAGGTATAACACTTCTGACATGCACTATACCAACCTCTCATCAGCTCAGGAAGATCGGTTCATAAGAGCATATAATAAATGTATTGATTATTTATCCCGAGGTTTGTAGAAAGTCGGTCTTTTGAGTTGTTAAGGGCTTTGATAGTTGTTGAAAAACCACCACGATTGAGAGTATGTGGATTAATGTGACTTTTGTACGGTTTGTACAAAATATCATCATTATAACATTTTGATACTACATGGCAGCTATACACTGTACCAGTCGATTTGTATCGGCATATCATGAGGTCATTTTTCAGTTACTTTCTTCCTGTGAAAGCAGGAGAAGTCATCGAGATCACAGCCTATGTGCTTAAACTCGGTCGCAACGTTGCCTTTACAGAAGCGGAATTTCGAAGAAAATCCGATGGAAAATTAGCCGCTAAGGGGCGACATACTGTGGCTATACTTCCAAAACAGCCTGTGGCCGATGGCCAGAAAGTTGCCCAGTATTAGTTTTTGTTTCTGCTTTTCTTCTGGGATGTAGTTTTGAGATTCTGAAATAGCCGATGTATATCCTTGGTGTTTCCTCGTCCTAAGCAAAGACATCAGCTTGTTGGGATAGTTGCTATAATGATAACTTTGCTTCTGTATTTTTTTGCGAAAGTTCTTGTATAGAATTCTTGGAAAATTCGTTGTTTGTTTCTTCATTATGGAGATTGTGGATGTTTATTTATAGGGTCGCTATTGTACTTCATAGCTGTTAAGACGTTGTTGGGGGATTATGGGAATCGAAAACAAGGTCGCTTGTTGAAAAACAAGTTCTCTAATTGTTTTTCCTCGATGTCCTTACATGTAGATGTAAACCAGATGTTACATAAAGATATTGGCATACTCTGTTCTCGTAAGCTTTTCTTTCCTTCTCGTAAATTTAAGCATTTGCTTGACGTGTCAACAGGGACTATTTATGGCAGATTTCGTAAGGGTCTTCATACCTCCTGTTCTGATCAGATATTTTCGTCATATAGGCCATGTTGTACAAATTGTAGATTGTACAACCTGATGAAATTTTGGTTCTGGGACGTCTTTTGTCGCTGGTAAAGAGGGCGAATAGCAGTGGTAGTGATGCCCGTTATCACGAGCATGGTGCTAGTTCGATTCCGCTATCGGCCTACCAAGTCTCTCATCCCTCCGAGGTCGTGAAATAGGTACCAAACTTGTCTGGGAGAAAACCACTCTCTGCATTCCAATTGGGAACGCTCCAGGCCGGCTATCTCAGGACTCCAGGGCGAATTGCTCGACCACCATTCTACGACATTCGAGATGAAATGAAAATCCTCAAGCAGCAACCGAAGCCACGCGTAAAAGTTGGAAGATCTTCGTAGACAATGGATGCAAGAGACGAATCGGATGTGAGCAGTGCTGGGACCAGAACAGTATACTTGAAGACAGGCCAAATGAAATGAAAAAGTGAGATTTTAACAGCGGGAAGATCTGTATTGATTTACGATAACAAAATGGACGATTAAATATAAAACGATGCACGTAACGTAACAGGTATACACGAGATTAAAGAGCATCGATGTGACGACACGCGAGCCACAAAAGCCTTTCATGGCTACAACGGCGCATTCACCTTACATCTGCCAAACTGTTCTTTGAGAATTCGCTATTCCCTTGATAAGCACATATAAAGTTGTTATTATACAATTTATTCACGACAGCTAACGTTTCGGTGGACTTCGCCTTCACAGCCACTGCTGCGTTAGCTGTATAAGTGTTCCTAGATTCAAGGTAACCTAGGTCTGGAAAGGCTACGTTAACTGCAACTTGGCCAAATACCTCCATAGCCTCAACAGAAAGGAATCTTTGAGAAAAATGTCGAAAAAGACGCCTTGTCCACTCGGAAGTGTTGGAAGCGCAATGGTTTCAACCACAAGAAGTTGCGCGTTATATTCCACTCACGTTTCCACTTTTTATGCAAAAGATATGGACAATTATCAATACTTCAGATTGAAACTACGAAGTACCTGTCTTATTCTCTCAAATGCTTTACTACTTCAATATCAGAAGACATACATCTCAATTATGACCACTAGTCAACTATGAAGAAGTGGCATACTCGCTTATTAGAATTGTATGAGCCAACCAAACAGTTATGACGTTAGTCGACTAAACACAAGAATAGCTGCGGTCCGAGAAGAGTCTTTGTGCGAGAGCAACAAGCTTCGCTCCAATTCGAAATTCGACGAATTCATACCATGACGAATGAGGGTTTCCTAGTATAACTATTCCAGGATCCAAGAAGAAATAAAGCGCGATCAGCGCTAAACACATCAGTAAAAGCAGGAAACATACTAAGGCCGTAGTGAAACGATTTGTATAAGCACTATAACACCAAAATAACCATCTCCATGGATAACTGTTGTAGAACAACATACCATAGAAATACTGGGCTCTACAACGGACGAAAACGTCTCCTCTGTACAGGAGTGGTGTTGGCACTTCGACTGTAACTACTACTAATAGGACACATCCAGCCAAAGATTGTAAGGCTAGTTCTTCCGTGTAGAAATGAAATCATGTGGATTAATAACACCAATACAATAAAAACACACCAAAGAAAATAGGTGTCGTTTATTAGTACTCCTACAGGTAACAAAATGTACAAGAAAAAGAATAGAAACTGAGTTACTAAGTACTTTTAGTAAGTTCAATGAAAGCAGAGTAAAGTAAGGTAAAGCAAAGTATAAAGTAAATAAATTTAGCAAGACCATGCATAACTTCTTAACAAAATAAGGAAACAAAGAGAAAATATGCTGTACAAAATGAGAACTACTGTGGTTAATGAAAAGAAATCTAAAGGGCGTAAGTCTTACTCCTAATCAAACGCTCCCACCATCGCCGTCTTCTAATTCTACACTTACAATGTCCAACAAATTCGATGATGACTGATCCGATTGATTCTCTCGTACAAATCGCAATCCTCTGCAGACGGGCCCCACCAATAGTAACCCCTTCGTTGACCTCTGAAACAACGAAGTTGTATACAATTTTGAATTACAGTGATCAAAAATATGCCAGCTAGTGTACATTGTGTGTTTTGCCTAAAATATAGCACTTAAAATACTGTCCTCGTCGACTCATTTTTGTCCATCATAACTACTCTCGAAATTCAAAAGATCGACCTTCTACAAACCTCAACACAAACAATCGATACACCCATATATATGATCTTATGAACCGTCCTTATTTAGTCGATGGAATTTTGGTATAGATCTTTTTACTCCTTACTTACTGCAAGTTAAAGAACGGAAGCCCACCTGAAAACAATAGAGGCTTACCGGGTCATCGGTTGGAGAGAATGCTCGACGCGGACGCTTCTTTCTTTCTGATAGTCGACGACGTCTTTCCCAAATTCCACTGTTTTCGATTTTAGCTTCACCATTATTTTTAACGGAATGACCTGAAACAACACAGTTATGACAGGCGATTATGGCCGCTCACTCGATAACTATCAATAATTCCTCCGCACCTTGAGTACTGAGCAACCTGTTGTAGACTTTACAGACTTTTAGAAAAAAAACTGCTTTACCGAGTATACTTAATTTATTCTGATATGTTGTTTTAACTTCAAATTCGTTTAGAAAACGAGTCATTAGAAATGAGAGAGAGGTTTACATTCTCACAATTTTTGTTGAATGCTCAATAGCATCAAGAAATAACGATGCCTTACAGGACTACCATAACGCTTGTAAAATGACATTGCTCTTTGAAATAAAGGATAAAATATAAAGCGTTCGGAGTTGAACAATCCCCTAGGGATGTAATTTGCACTCAGGATAGGAAGGAAGGTTTGGCGAGTCTGGGGATCGAAACAAAGACCTCGAATGTTTGCATGTCACCTGTAATCACTGCACTACACGCGCCCTGCGTAACATTCCAGTCTCCGATAAAAACTGGAAAGATGTGTTTTATGGACTCCATAAAGTCATAACTTCACCATTAACAGATAGAAAACTACGAACCTACAGAGCTCACGCGCGTTCAACACACAAGAGGCGGTTTGCATTGATTTAAAGGCGCATGCACCCAAAGATGACAGCTCCTAGCGACATGAACACATTATGCCCAACATGATGTACTCAGTACAATGCAACTGGTATGAAGAAAAAAAATTATCGTTTATAACTTTAGAGCAAACATGTCTTACAGCTCATACTAGACTTCATCCAGTTAAACAAGAACAATTAGAATATGTAAAACCCGTCCACTACATACAGTTTCTCCTAATCTGCCAAGATAAAACGGTTTTCTAGAGCTTGCGAAAGGTATCCCTTGCTTTTTCTGCATCAAGGCTCGTATGCCCAACCAGAAATAAACTGAACACTTGCGACATTCCAGAACGGAATAAAGTCACGACCTCCACAGTACGTCGTAAACAAATTAACGATCATGTCACCCAAAATGGGGTCACGCCTGCTCATTGGTTTACAAAAGCTTTTTTACCTCACTTTTGTATTCGATCGGTAGACTGTCAAACAGAAACTCATCAAGACTGGTTCCTTAAAATCTGCTCTCTAAACTTAATTCTTTATAAAATGCCTTTTTAGGACTTTGTTTTCTTCTCGCTTTTTTTAGCCTCCGTTAAATCAACGGTGTCCTTCAATGCGTCAAAAGACTTAATTCCTAATATAAACTACGTTATGAATCCTTTTATGCGAATTTGGTACCGTTGGAGCAACGTTTCACTTACGAATCGATCAAGTTCCGAACTTCTCAATCATTCTACTTACCAAAAAGTTACAAGTGGTTATAAAGAAACTAAACATCCTGTTTTGAACGTTAAATATGGAAGCTGGGATAATTTATGAGCAGACTCGCTTTTAAATCAACGCGCATTTTTCTCACAAATGCGCAGGACATATCTGTCCTTATACTTGGTAAAGTACTTCACTACTTTGCTCTCAACCACATCTGACACTAACTAACATTAATTTCAAAGTCAGTGTGAGACATTGAAAACATACCAGTATCTGGAAGGTCTTGACTAACTGTCTTCCGACGTGGTTTATCTCCATAGTACACTTTGCGCTGATTCTTAATCCTCGAAGACCACCGTCTCTCAAACCCCAGATTCTTTTCCTTCTGCACTTCTTCACTGCATTCTTCATCAATATTCAAGTCCTGCATAGAATTAACTGTCCCATCCTCGGAAGTCACCTGTGTAGAATCAAGTGCAAGTGCCCTTACTTTGGAAGGCATCATTGTAGAATCATGTATCCCTTCTTCGAAAAGCACTTGTGTACAATCGAGGATCCCATCTTCTGAAGTCACCTGTGTAGAACCAAGTGTCCCTTCTTCCCAAGGCATCTTTGTAGAATCATGTAACCCTTCTTCGGAAAGCACAAGCGCAGAATCCAGTGTCTCTTCATTCGAACGCATCTGCGTAGAATCAAGAGTCCAACCTTCGGAAGGCACCTGTATAGAACCAAGTCTCCCTTCTTCCCAAGGCATCTTTGTAGAATCATGTACTTCGGAAGGCACAAGCGCAGAATCCAGTGTCCCTTCTTCCGAACGCATCTGCGTAGAATCAAGAGTCCAACCTTCGGAAGGCACCTGTGTAGAATCAAGTGACTCTTCGTCGGAAGTCACCTTAAAATTTTTAAAATTGGAAAATATTCTCATAAATAACAAATTCATTGTGGTCATCGTATACAAAGCATGGAATACCTCAACGCTTTGATTAGGAGTCAGAAGGGGGCTATCACATGTAAGCTTTCCTCGTTCTATGACAGACTCATTCTGAAAGGAATAAAAATTATTAACCATTAACCCTAAAAGAGATATACTGCACTGCGAATTTTCGAAATTGTTACAAATACATTTAAGCTCTTGTTTTCCTTTTTTTTTTTTTTCTTTCCAAACATAAGAGCGAATCTACCTCCGGTCTATCTTCTTGCTCTCGATCGATGTTTCAGGATTGGACAACAGACCTTCTTAGCTGCATACGATTTATAGTACTTAACATTAAAAAAGGGCGCGTGTGACGCAGTGGTTCGAGGCGCCAGTGTGATACACACGTGGGGTCGATCCCCGGATTGGTACCAGACTTGTCTACGAAAATAGTAGCACTGGCTCGATACATCGGTAGGACACCGCGATTCATCGTAAATGCCAGATATGCATTCATTCGCCTCCAATAATACTTAATGAAGTCGAATGCATGGCGCATCCCTCAGGGATTGGTCAACGCCGAGAGCTTTTTAGCTTTTTTTAACATTAAAATTGCACTTTCATCGAGTTCAACGATAAAAGAGAATAAATTTATAAGTGGATATGAAGATAAAGAAAATCAGCGTATTCCCTATGAAAACCTATGAGTACTAAACCCACTTACTTTTTCATCAAAACTTAAAAAAGAGGAATCAGAGGAAAAAACAAGACAAAAGGTGCAGGAAAGTGGCCAAACATTGGTTCAAGGAGATGGAAGATTTTCACAAATAGAGAAACATCCAGATAAGAATACAGTAAGATCTTTAGAAGTCACCGTTGCAGCGAATTTCATAAATAGAAAAATATTCGAATTGCATTACAGTAAGACCTCTAAAAATTCACCACTAGCGTGACCATCCTTCCCGAACCATCATTTCTCACCTTTACCTAACGTCGACTTACTGGATGGTTACGTCTCTTTTTCTTCAATAGAAAAGTAGGAAATAAAGAAACAACTCAGATCAAAGGAGATGTTGAAAAAACTATCTAACCCTGTGTTTTAGTGCGCATTAGAAACAACGGATTTCTGCAATCATAACTTCTAACCGCTTTCGAAATCCCTTTAATCGACGACGGATACCGCAAATCAGTACATTCGCGAACGATTTCTACACTAACACCAGTAGCCTGCGATGTCACTTCGTCAGGATCGTCAAGCGATCCGGTTGGAATTTTTCCATACCTTAAAAGTTACACGATAAAATTCACCATAGAAAGTAGCAAGAGAGAATGTCAACGCATAAAATTCCCTCACCAGAAAAGGTGATTATAAAATCTGTGGAAAAAGAAACGAGCTCGTGCAATTATAGTCTTGGTCGATTCACACATATAATCGCCGACATTAGACAGAGACCTAAAAAGAAAAAGAACTTCAGTTACTAGTAGGACTAAAATTGACACATTCACGAAATGGTGAACCACACTTAGCCCACACGTAGGTGGAAAAGATGAAGGTGAAAGCTCTCGATATTGACCAATCTCTGGAGGATGCACCATGCATTCGATTTCACCAAGCATCATTAGAGGTGAACGAGTACATACCTGGTCTATTCAATGACTTGCGGTGGACTTCCGTACCAAATTAGTCCTGCTATCCTTCCAGAACTCTCTGGTAATAATTTGCTGTTCCTGTAGGAATTGAAGGCTTCGTAAACCCGGAACACATAACCGAACCAAGAACCACATGTGCATTTCCGGGAGACCTCTAACCACCACGCTCTCACCCACAAGTGTACGCGCAATATTGTGAGATACAATTTACCCACTACTTACCTTCACCGACAAAAACTTTCCTAGAAAAACTTTCGTTATTCATCCCCATGTATAATCTCCTTCAAATTATACTCCTCTGTACCTAATTGTTGAAGGTCCGAAATTCAGCTCATTTCATGAATCGAACTTTATTTGCAACCCCTTCGCTTCCAAGCTTCATTACGCTGTTTGAGCATCGCCTTTTTTTCACTATTTTGATACTGCCGAAAATCTTCCCGTCTTGTATAAATGAACGAGAAGCAGGATGTAGATATCTTAGTGGTCCTAGATACAGCTCTCCTGCCACCAATGTAGCAGAATCGTTTCTGTAAACCTTCTCGCTAAATTCATGATTCTTCGCTCTTATAGTTCTTTCTCGTAACTAGAAATTATGTGACTAAAATGATTTTCCTCCGGTAGGAATTTTGAAGCTTGAGATGTGGCTTGTTAAACAAAACAAGAAAAAAATGAAAAATGTTTTCATGTTCAATTCTATACCATGGCAAGAAGCGGCGCTCCTTATTTAACAATCTAATAACACAAAACTGTATTCGCAAACTTCCAATGACAAATCCGGTTTACAGTGGTTCATCAGTGAATCTTTATCGCCCTCAAGTCGTTGCAATTCCTGGGAGGTCTTTGTTGTGTGCCGGAAGTCTGCTGTAAGCAAACTTCATTTCTCTTTTCGGACAATTCCACTACAGCGTAAGCGTAAATGCGATCCGAACTTTATTCACGGGAGTGAAGAGTAATTGGCAAAACTCGTTAATCCGCCAATAAGCAACTTGTAGCCGTTGGTCACGTCTCCGCTAATTTGTCAGCCATTTAAGAAAAGCATTCCGTCCAGAAAGTCCTCGTATTCCCAGTTCACCACTACAGATAGTTGCCGCTACATATGAAATACTGGTGTGGAAAGTTTTACTTCACTGAAGTGGATATTCTCTCTAAAATTCCACCTTTAGTTGCTTGTCTAGAGAGTTTTGAACACAATGCAGTTCGCCGTCTAGCCAAACTCCTTTTCAACGGCGATTCAATAGAGGATGCTGCACATCTAGTGTCTACACATTCGACGTTACCCAAATCCGTTTTCACCTTCCGCTCGACGAAGATCACGCACGCGGTATAAAACGATGGTTAATTTTTCACCTGGCGCCGTAGGGTCACAGTCAACACACTCGGTACATGATGCCTCGTAAGACAGAGGCATCGTGATACCTTGGTCATCATGTATCTTTATCTGAACGGTCGTCCAGCGCTATGCTGTAATAATTCGATGACCACTGTAGTCGAAAGCGTCGTGCACTTGTTTACATAAAAATTAGCAAGACTTATTGAAGTATTTAGCAGTAGAAGCTTGTAGCTGATGCACACTATACCCATTTATACATCGAATTCGTCGTCAGTGCGCTGGTCAATAAAATCTAAATCACATTAGTGGACTACAACTTCTTGTGCTAATATCGTAACTTTTAAGAAACCTTGTGATTATCAAAAACCCCTCCCAACGGTATACCGCTTCATCACGGCTGGGAGGTCCTCTTGGGTGTCGGGCCACGATGTACAGGGGGGTATTCATCCACTTGGCAGGATCTCCCAAGGTGAGTACGGCTTTTCACAATCCTTAAGCCCAGCTAAGAGTGAACCAATACCAGGATCCGTCATCGTCTTGGTACCAAACTAGTCACACGGTGGCAAATCTCCCTCTGATCCACAAGCGCCGCGACTGCCTGCGGTGGTGACGACCTGCGGCAAACTTTGGCCTGGCTGAACTCGGAACTCCAGAGAGCCACAATGGCTAAACCAGCAAAACTTCGAAAAAACGGAGATTATGCCGGAGCCCACACAACCAGTGAGGAGGGTCCATCCTAGTATCCAAGTAAGTGTCAAAAACAGGGAAATTCTCCATAGTGGTACATAGAACCACATTGAAAAACAATCGCTCCTTCGGAAATTTTTCAAGAGTCGCACCAAAACCGCACACATATAAATAGGAACCAATTTCAACTAAATGAGCAACCAAACCTTTTGCAGGACGACGAACAACGCTCTTCCACAACAGGTGTTTCAAATGCAAAAGTGTCTTCGCGAAATTCATCGTTCGACTGAACAACTACCGGCTCAAATTGTGAGCAAGAAGCACTAGCTGCTGAAAACAAATTCCATTTTTAGAATTGTTAGAATTGCCATCATTTCGCAAATTTAGACCGGTTACAACAATGAAATCAGGTCTGCAACAGTCCAATTGGGATATTTTTTACCAGGAACACTTGCACTACCTGTACTCCTATTAGTCCTTTTGCGACCATTCCTAGTTCTCAGCTATTATGGACACACTAGTTTTTCGACGATAAACGAGAATTTTTCGATAACAAGATGAACTGAGGGGTTTTGAACATGAAATAATCATGAAAATGACTTTGCTCTCTCATTTGGTGGGCATGAAGGGTAAGTACGCTGCTGCATACTGTATGTTACGTTGTTCCATCATATAAACGCATTAGTGAAAGTATTTGAAAGCGTTTGGCACCTTATGCTGTGTCAATTTCACTCTCACAACTCGCATGATAATTAGGTAACTGTGATTCATCATACAAATTAAAATTGAAATAAAAGCCTATCACAACAAAGACACGGATGAGGCGCTCGGCGTTGATCAACTATTGAGGGCGCGCCGTACATGCGACTTCATTAAGCATTGTTAGAGGTGACTGAATGCATACCCGGCCTATTCAACGACTGCGTTGAGTTACCGATATATCAAGTTAAAGCAGCTATCCTTCCAGACAAGTTTGGCATCAATTTGCCGACGTCAGAGGGATGGAAGGCTTGATGAGACAAAGGAGTGCCATCAAACCAACGACCGCTTGTGTATTGCGATGCACCTCCAAACCCTGTGCTAAATGCGCCCTGCATTGGTCACAAGAGAAGTAATTAACTCGTCGCTGTCAAAAACTGGCGTGTACAAGCTCCACTAGAAGTAGATGAACAGCACTACGTCTGTACAAGACTTTCTATTTCTACTTCTATTCATAAATATAGTGAGAACGCAAAAATTTGGTGGCAGGGAAATGTGAACTTGTTCGCTTCGTTTGTCAGCTCCTAACAAGATACTGCTGCAAACAACATCGATGAAAAACACGACCATTTAATCTAAATACTTCCAGAATTTCACTACATCGAGAGTTACCAAGTAGATGCTCGTCTGCAGACACCATCTGATCTCCCAACTTGTAAAAGAACTTTAAAAGAAGTAATACAAAGAAGTGATAAAAGCAGAAAGGCTGGATAATGCTGAAGAAATTGAGAACCACAGAGGTAGTAATAATCACTACCCGGACACGACAACACCTGAACATATGAAGCACCAGATATCTGTGATTCAGCTATCCTTCCAGACAAGTATCACCAACACAATCGCTACTCTTGTCTACAGCACGCTTCCTCCAAAGAATCTCGTTTCTCTAGAACAAATCAAGCGTATGTTGGACATGGGAGTCTTCAAACGGCACGACTCATGCGGAGACCGACCATATTCTGACAAACAGATGATGCCTATTTGAAACATCAGTAGTGTCATCATTCTGTACTGATCTTAACTCTTTTATTTACTGCCTTTTTCTTCTTAATGGCAGGGTATGTTGTGAAATATAACTCGTATGAAGTGCTGAGATATTTGCAAAACTCCGGACCACAGGTGTATGCAGTGGGGAACGAACACGCGCTGTTGTCCTTACCGGGGAGCAGCGCACTTCACCACTACACCATCCGGGACCCGGACTGGACTAACAACGTAGTACTTGCTTGTCAAAAATACAGTGAATTGTTCTTAAGTAGCTTATTCCTGTTTTGCTTGTAGTATTCTTAGGGAAAGGGTATGGCTTCCTGACAGATATCGTCATGGAGCAATATGCCAAGAAGTGGATGCTCTAGCTACTCTTCTACTGTGCCTTGTTCGAGTGCTACAGTCCACTGAATGCGGCTGCAAAGATCCATACTCCAAAAACGAATCACTGTGAACAATCCACTCAAATCGTTCCCCTTTGAAAAAGAAGAAGTCGCCTAAACTGTATCCGGATAAAGATTTTGTAGCATTGTAGTATTAGCCTTGAAGTGCATGAAACAATATATTGATTACTCACGTCGCAGTTAAACGAAAATCGGTTAATAAAGGTAATTATTTACAGGTCTGTCCCACGGATTGAATGCAACTTACAGACTTCAGCAAAGCAACGATATGGCAGTGATCGATAAAACTAGCTGAGAGACAGGCGAAACGAAGGACTCGCGTGGTGTGGTGGTGAGGGCGTTACTCCCTGGAAAGGACAACAGCGCGTGTTCGTTCCCCACTGCATACACCTGTGGTCCGGAGTTTTGCAAATATCTCAGCACTTCATACGAGTTATATTCTGTACTGAGTTCGATCATCGCCTTCTTCACGTGAAGAATCGATTCAGCTGTAAGCTGGAAAAAATCCATATCATCCACAAAGGATGAAAAGTATAGTCTACGACGAGAAAACTTTGAAAGAAATCCCGTCCAAACGTGACTGGCAGACTAATGAAGACCCGATCGAAGACTACGAACTGCTTGTCGAAGTACTGAGAGGCTGTGCTGAATTCGCCTCATTTCCCAAGCAAGACGATCGGACCGCATCTCCACTACCCCTGAAGAGTTTTCGAAAAGAGAAAGAAACTGAAGCTTGATCCTACTAAAACACTAAAACGGCTGGTAATAAATGCCTGTTGTAGAAGAGCGTTGCAGGAAGATCTACATCGTATATCGATGGCAGAAGAAACTACAATAAACAGCAGAGAAAAGAACCAGTCTGAAAAATGTCGTTGGGTATTGAGCGATTATAATGTTCTGTTGTCTGTCCTGATGAACGAACAAGAGATCACTGAAACCTTCCGCCAGGATATGGTATTAATAACGGAAAAGTTCTAAACAAACCTTCTCCGTTACAAAAATCTCATCCCAGACCCTAAAATCCCCATTGGAAGACAGCACCTCGAATTCTCCCATTTGAGGTTCGAGTTGCGATATGAAGTTTGAAGAAAAGGCACAGCTCCAGGACACGACAACTCGATTTCTTTAAATCTGAAAGCCACAATTTACATGTATTTCTCGTAAACCATATGACAGCCTACCTTCAAAAGGCAAACAGTCCAGACTAGTGGAGGACGTATCGCACGGTCACCTTGCCCAAGGAAGACGACAGAGGGGATCTTTGTAATTACCCCCCAATAAGCTTGCTGAATATACTCTACAAGTTGTTCACGAAGATTATTCTTTGTGCATATCGAAGACATTGGATGAGACACAACAAGTTAAGCAAGTAAGATTCCGATATAAACGTTGTATGGACCATATTTGAACTGTGTTCAGCGTTATTGAAGTCTGTCAGGATAGCCGCCTGCCCTTGGTAATCCCATCAGCACTCGTCGACAAAGTAGTAGACCCGTCCTACATAAAACCCTATCTGACTGTTATTGGAACTACACTATGAAAACAGCTTCTTCATCGACCTCTTACCATACCTAAAGGAAAAGTGGCTCGACATGGCGACACAATATCGCCAAAGCTGCTTAGTGCCGCACTGCAGTGAATAATGAAGTCACTCGATTGGGATGAGAAAGGAACATGTATTGACGGAATATTCCTATCAAGCCAGCGTTTCTGTGACGACATCGTCATCTTCTCAAGAAGTACTGAGCAACACGATGATCAATGAGCTAAACGAAGCGGGAAAAAAACATGGGACTACGCATAAATCGGAAAAAGACCAAATTCATGAAAAACCCATGGTGCGAAAGCGAATAAATTAAGCTGGATGGCTCTCTGATTGCAGAGACCACCTCATACGTATACCTTTGGCGACCAATGAACATTGAAAACAACATGATGGAGGAATCAAACAGAAAGAGGCGCGCAGCTTGGGCAGCATGCGGGCCCCTCGAAGAGGCCACCGACCAACTGAAGGACTCAAAACTCCGTGCACCACCCACACAGTGCTTGAACGATGTGTTCTGAAATATAAACGGCACGCTCAAAATCTAGCTGGAATACGCGGCCCAGATTTTCAAAACCTATTCCATCCTCGGGATCCAGGAGAATGTGTATTGTAAGCGAAACACATATGGGTAGGTCACATAATGAGAGCAAACGACATATGGACGAAAAGAACTGTAGAGTGGACTCTACGAGAATGCATGCCCCACCATGGATGGCCACCTACACGTTAGGCGGAGTAATCGAAATTAATCGATAGTACATGTAGCTGCAGCCACTTTACAGACCACGGTATTAGACTCGCAAGCGTTACCAAGCGCAAAAAAAACGACTACCATGGACGACGATTGCGAGGGAAAGAAACGAATGGGAAATGTGCTGAGGCGGGCACAAATGATGAAGGTGGACCGTCCAACTATACAAATAAGTAAGAAGCCCTCAGAAAATGATGTTTTCGAGAAACTCGTTACCGATAATCTACTCATGCTCAACGCAACAAGTATCTCCAGATGGTTCAATCCAAGTGTAGCTGTGTAGGCAAGTCAACATTTAACACTCTGCCGACGAGTGACATCTAGAGGAGTCACAATGAAGTTGCGGGACTGGCTGATATGACACCTATCGGTTTCATTTCCTTTCCGGTAGTTTATTTTAACACACAAAACTGTTTTCTGCACTTCCCGTAAACAATCGGTAGCCTATCCAACGAAAATGACATTGCACGCGTCGTCCACAGGAGAGTGTCTTCTCAATAATTTCCCCCTAATACTTCATTTTGCTGCAAGAAACTACTGGTGTTGGCGAGAGTGTGAACTGGAAAACTAACAGCATCGAGTCTGTGGTAGAAATGAAAAAGAACATCCGTTTCACTACCCATCATTTCGACCACACGTTTTCCTTCGCCTTAATTCAGCACTTGGAATCGTCTATGTAAACGTGATAAAGGTCGCCTTACGTTACCAGTACCAGCATTGAAAGGATACTGACACCTTCAAGAAAAACGGCGAACCTAAAACTCTGACCCCTGTCGACGACCGAAGACCAGAAACAATTAATTCCTTGTAGGCTTGAAGTCGAAAACCAGATAGTCCACAGCTGTGATGCGTTCAAACAATGACCGTTGAGTAGGAGCAGGAACAACTCTACCCCAGAGGATGTCAAGCAAAAAGTTAAGAAGAACAAAAAAATAACAAAGCACCAAGAACTGGAACATGATAGAGACGAAAGGAGAATAACCACAGTCACAACACGATAAAAGAAGAGATGAAACAAACGATTTCTTGGTGAGAGTTACCTAGTCACCTAGATACTACAGTGGAGGCACGGTTATGTTAATACACACCTAACAGATCCTGTATACGTGGGAATTTTCTTTGTTGGCAATCACTCTGAGTACGTCAGCTATTAATTACCAAATTAACAATACTTTGGTCATCTGATTACAGCATTTTAGCCCTACCAAGAACATACAGAATATAAACCGCATATAGGCAAACATATAAGCGTATGTATAGGTCAATGTCTTCTTGTTTATGGAATTTATAAGTCAGCAGGAAGCACATAGCGCTGTAGTAGTGATCTTGTTCATCACAAGGTCAGCCCAACCTCAGGTGGTGGTTCGACCACACCCCCTGGCCCACCAAAGGTCTCAGCTCTCTGGGTTCGAGAAATTAGTACAAGACTTGTCTGGGACAGGCTCATTCCTAGTTAATGTGGGGACACCGTAGCATGGCTATCTCAGGAGCTCAGGGAGAATCCATTCGACCAGCACTCAACGATGTTCGTGTTGAAGATGAAGATCCCCAAGTAGCAACTGAACCTACATGCAGAGAAAAAGGTCGAAGAAATTCATGGATTGTAGATGACAGGTAAATAATCCAGTGTAAGAAGTATTGGACTCCGCATAACAGATGTGAAGACAAATCGTGTAACAACAAAAGAAAATTGAAAAATGAAAACAAACCAACACGTACGTTAAATATAAAGAACCGAGACGAAGTCCTTCACACGAATACGTGATTTACTGGGACTTTATTCGGACTTAGTTAAAGATGTCCTATTTTCAGCTTCAAAAGTAACTTGATTTACAATTTCCTACCTATTTTTACATGATCCGTGTTTACACGCATTGTGAGAACCACAGTACTTGTTCCATTCAGTTTGTTTCCTCGTATCCATCACCCACGAATGTCCTCGGATTCACGTGTGGGCTCGGCTACTAAGAGATTTTTCGCATCCTTTATGAGTGTCATTGAATGCTGGTCAAGTCCATTTTCTTCACCCAAAAGCCGACCGTGGGATACACGTGTTAGGGCGCTCGAAGGTTTCCGCACCGAAGAGAGTTTCCCAAATAAGTCTAGTACAAATTCCCAAATCCCGAATAGATAGGAGCCTTGGTTTGCCTACTGTTGTGCCGAATCAGGACCTCCAGTGCATTAAACGGCACCAGTGCCAGTGTGCCCTGCAGGGATGTAGCACTTTTAGGTTTGCCACGCATATTTTTTATCGATTCAACCTCACTCAGAAAACATCAAATAATTTACCTAGTCAAAAAAATGAACTTACGCTTCTTCTCTTCATTGCTGATAACAACACTGTCTAGTTCTCTTTTTATTGGAGGACAATAATAAAATAAAAACCATACGCACATCATATTGCGGTGACTACAGTTTCTAGCCAACAGTTTCTACGACGATGGTTATAGATCCTTTGTATTCAGAAAACATCTACCTTCACTTACTTGAAGTGTACAAGAAGTACGTCTAATTCAACTTAGTAATTTATTAATTCATAGAACTGCACATCTGCTTTAGAACATATTACATACCATGATCGTTCTTATCTATAGCTATCCTTGCCAACCGTAGCCGTAAACATGACCGACAAGCACTTCTTTTTGTTAGCGTAACATCAAACCTAAGCTGCTGGTAGACGACAATGCTGACACCCACGCAGGACTACCTTCACAAATATCCTTTCTTCGTATAGGTTTAGCTTCTTTCTAATCGTAGCTAAATGTATCAAAATAACGCCTTCTGTTCGAAGATGCTACTAAGCATTCCTTAAGGGTTTTTTCGCAATCGAAACAAATCTATAAAAACGTCCCGATTACCAGCTGCCTATGCATTAAAAACATTTAACAAATAATTCTGGTAGTTATGGTGCAAGTCATGAAGAGCTTTCAACAAGGTCATTGCATTTCGAAACCACTGCACAGCGTATTGTGTGATCTGACCATGACCCAGGATCACCAAGTTTCATCCCTGAGAGGTCGGGAACTTTGTACCAAACTTGTCTGTGAATAGTTCACCCCTTGCAATCCTAGTAGGAATGCATCTAGCCCGGCAATGCCGGCACTTCGGGTAGAATCGATTCGACTAGTACTCAACGACATTCACAGAGAAGACAACGATCCTCCAGCAACAGCCGAAACCACACGTGAAAAAATCGAAGACCTTCGTGAACGATGGATACGAGAAAACAAATCGAATGGAAGGATTGCAGCAACTGACATAGTCCACGTGAACACAGGTGTAAAAAAACTTGTGAGACTACCTTCCAGCTCCCCAAAACAAAACAGAAATTCAGTTGAAGACGAATCCCGAGGCTGAATCGTAACCAAGTGATTACAGAGTAAAAAACTCACATTCATTGATGTTCTCGCTTGCCGTTTCCACCACATATCTCTTATACATTTCATTTTTGTAACACTAAACAACAATACATTTACACTTATGCCTATAACAAAGCTCATATAATATACCTCAATTGGCTCTCTTGGGACATTGGACGTACGGACCTCCATAAGTGTTTCGTTGGCCTAGAAGGAAGAAATGATCCAGTATCATAAAACATCACTGATTTAAAACAACGAGTTAATTGTTTTAAGTTCCTCGGTCAGGAAATACGTATGAATCGGATTTGTAAACTGTACTCCGTATATAAAGGATTAAATAAAGGATATAGCTCTCGGTGTCAATCAATCCTTGACGGCTCTGCCATGCATTTAACTTCATTAAGTAATGTTTGGAGGTGATTGAATACATATTTGGCCTTTGCAATGACTCGCGGTGGCCTATCGATGTATCGAGCCAGTGCTGCTACCCCTACCTTCACAAAGAAGTCTGGAACCAATTTGCCGACCATGGAGCATGGAGTGCTTGGTGGGCCAGAGGCGCGAGATCAATCTCATGTGTTGCAGGGCACCTCAGACAACCGCGGCACACGCGTCCTTTATTACCAACACAAATCATCAAAAATACCTCCCACCAAGTTATTAAGAATTACGAGCAGAGTAATTTGCAACCAACCGTCACTTGACCTCGATAGTAATGACCGATCTTGTAGTAATCTCGGAACTCCGGGGAACCACAACGGTTACACCAGAAAAGTTCCGGAGAATGGAAATTATGCTGGGTCTTGAACAACCAGTAAAGACGGGCCATCCAAGTATCGAAGTACTCAAGTAATAATTAATATCTTCTTAGATTGCTAAGATCACGCGAGATGGATCCGGCTCCGAAGAAGTCGCAAACATCGAAATGTTAGCTGAATGAATCTATTTGTCAAACTCATGTCAGCTTAACAATCTAAGGAAATATGAGTACAGTTGTCCACAAAATCTTCACAAATTAAGAACTTCTGGATAGAACTATCCTGAAATCACCCTAAAGTCTAATGGATATTATATTCACGTGAATAAATTTGGATTAATTCCAGAAAATTTAAAAGATTAAAAGCATTTAAGCGATGCGGTAGACGACAAAACAGTTAATAGAAATATTCAAAAACTTCCTAATAATCAGAACCAAAGACACTGCTAAATGCCAAAAATCTGTGTAGAAAACTAAAACCGAGATTCAAAACAGGCTGAAAACCACTTACGGATGGAAGTCCAGGAATCTCGTTACTATCAGGTACGAACGAAAGTGCAGGAATCCCGTCACTCTCACGTACGGTTGGAAGCCCCGGAATCTCGTTACTATCATGCACGAATGGAAGTCCACGAATCTCGTAACTATCACGCAGAGGTGGAAGCCCAGAAACCTCGTTACTAGTAAAGTATTGAGGAGCACAATACATCAGACTATTCGATTTCTCGACGGAATAGTCATTTCCTGTATAAGATTCTTGTAGTACAGGTGCTGTATAGATGTTGTTCGGATCATTGCTAGAACAAAAGAAACATATATTGACCAATAAAAGAATACAAGAAGTTCACCTACATAATGGAATTGTTCCACGTTGGATATTGGGTTCGAAAACCAAAATGGTCGAACATATCCTCATTGATTTCTGGCCTCTTTTCAGCATCTGACAGAAAACTCCTCACGGTATAGAAAGTAAAAAACAATTCTATCTCAAATCCTTAAAAGTAACTATGATGTAACCTTTTTTAAACTCAGATCGTCTGAATTCATAAGCGACTTCGTCATTCCTCTGAAAAGAAGTGCCAAGATGAACGCGAACAAAAAGGCGGCTACCTTGGTACGGAGACGATGTATCCATCGAATATAGCCCATAAGTGTTGACATGGTCAAAGATTTGAGCGGAATTCCACTCACAGGACATATCCTGATGATCGTAAACATTTGGAAACTGCTGACCGTCTAAAGACAGAAGAAATTCACTTCATTCACTGCAAAGCAGAAAACTTTCCTACAAGTCAAAATGGAAGTTGCAATGAAAGGTGTATACACAAAGCAAATCTAGGTTATTATCACAGTTAAAACTCACAGATATCGAAATTTCCACAAGACTCAATCGGTGTACTGTTAGTATTTCCGTCAACAGACCTATAATAAACAAAAAAAATGACTGGAATGTTGCCATGGACCTTTGGAGAGATGTTGGCGATACTGTAGCTAACAAAAGAGCCACATTATAACTTAAAGATATTCGTGGCATTCTTGGTAACCTGGAAAGTAGGAAGAGGTAACTGAAGCTAGGTAAGGCGAGTCAGTAAATTAGCTTAAGCTGAAACAATGGGAACGATCTTCCCGTCAATAGAATGTATGGCCACGAAAAGAATCAATGAAGAACGAGTACTTTTGATTTAGAGTGATCTCCCTGTTTTCAAATTCCGGATGTCTCACACTCATTTCTCCACTGTCGACGATGCTGTTCAACATGACATTAGGTGTCGGATCTGCAAGAAGGAAATGTACACCTACACAAAGTTTTACCACTACCCAAAGCATCCAGTAAGGTCATGAAAACCCTGAATGAGCTAAAAACAGCCCTATAACGCTCAATCTTTTCAGATAAAATCTAGTAGCTGTTTCCTCTTGGTACATTACTTCCAAAGCAGCCAAAAATATCAGAAGATCCTAAAGCCCTTAACAACCAAGGGATATGGCACAGGTAGTTTGGTTCGAACCCAACTTATGCTGCGCAGATCATAGCACTTGGTTTCTGAACCTGCTAAAAACGAAAAGGAACAAAAATTGCAGCTTAAAACGAGAAAAAGAACTGTTAGAGAACTTAAAGAATAAAGACCTTTTCGATGTAACCGTTGAAAAAAGTAGTAAGCGTTGAAAACCAATGAAAAGCACTAGCGTTCTTGGTAGTATAAACTCTACCAGTACATGATTTCTCCGTACCCAACTAGAATCTATGCGGTATATCACCAGTGATGAAGAAATCCAGGTCCACAGGATGGGATCGGATATTTCGTAATCAATACGGTGCCATCTAGGATTGGATCCAGACCATAGTGTCCCTACATTTACATAAGTTACGAAAGGAAGCGAATATGCAAGCTACCCACTAAGCCTTAGTGGATGACTCTGTGAGAACACCCACATAGATATATAGATGTTGTATACGCATAGACACATGTGTATACGTACATACACATATGTACATATGGACATGGATATATAAAATGTGAACGTAGAATATTATTATTATTATTATTTCAATAACAATACTTACCATCGTCCATCCGAAACGGATCAACCAGCAATTCCATCCCAGATTCCACTCCAAACATTCTAAAAATAGTGGTAAATTGACGGTTTCTATCATGTTAGAGAGTAGCCGCATAAGTGATGGCAAGGAAAAACGTCTATATTCACTAGTTAGAGCAACAAATGCAGAAGAAGTGATACGATGGAACAGTTCAATGAGCATATCCTAGGTTCGATCCCTCTCCGTGCCAACCGAGACCACTACCAACCAAAATGATACCGTCAGCATCATATCTGATGTAAGGGCGTATACAAAAGACAATACAGTTAAACAAACATCAAGGGAGTACCAGTACGCCTACTAATAACAACAGAAGTGTACCAGGTGTGAACTGCTAAACGATGACGAAATTTACGTCATGACCCGCCCTTTACAGTAATCTGCACTCCTATTGGCTGACGTCTGTCGTATCCAGGATGCGAAAGTAAGCAGTTTCTTTCCTTTTCTTCTCATTCAATGTGCCTGCTGTAAACAGGCAATCGTCATAGGACTCACGTACTCGTGTTTACACGGCAATAGCATTTGCATATTTTGACTACGGCCTCAGTTTAACTGTGTTCAATGTCGGTTCGTGCTCCCTAGATCAATCCCGTTGACGGGTGATTGCTGATGCACTGGTAAATAGAAATCTAGCTGAGAGAAAGGCTAAACAAAGGACCAGTACGGTGTAGTGTTGGACGCGTTAGCCCCGGGCATGGGTAATAGCATGTTCGATCCCCACCACAGACACCTGCGGGCCGTAGTGTTGCGGATATCTCAGCATCATCGTGTTTGCAATTCAAAAAGTACCCTGCCGAGAATAACTGTAGTAGGTAGTAAATAAAAACTCAACGTTCGTACATCTTTTCAACAAAATTTATGGATTAATTTAGCGCTTCAAAAGCCATGGACTCACCACCTGACTCGTGTAGATAAAACGAGTTCCATATAATTGATATGTAGAAAACATCTCGCTCCAACATTGTGAAATGTATTGGTGCTTAGGAAAAGAGTAAAAGGAAGATCGAAAGAATGATCGCATTGAGACCAATGCGCATTGTCATGAATGGGCTAGAAAGAGAATCGGCTAGCGCAATTCGTTGCATCTAGAAGTACGAAGCTGAGAAATTTCTGATAGAATTTACAGTGTGCCCATGTTTATGCCGACGACTTAGCCTTGATCAGGTAGTGCTAGGCACTTCATTTCTCTGTTGTGGCCTGCATTTACCCTAGCCGACCTAACCGCTCTCTTCGACACCACATAGGGCATGGCACGTGACCCCTAAGGTGTGTCACGTGCCCCTGGATATACCACTCATCCGTAAATAACCAGGAATGAGGGATCCGAGAAAAACGGAGTTGAGAAGGAAATTACTTTCTGGCCCGAAGACTGGTGTCAAAATTTTCGCCTTATCAATAGCGGCTTTGTTCAGATATTCGCAAACCAAGCTCTCTCTGTGACTCTTGGCAAAAAGAATGAATAAAATACCACTCGAAAAGCCTTGCGAAAACGCGCTGTGGTGGTGAACGCGCTACTCCCCGGAAAGGACAATAGCGCGTTCGTTCCCCACCATAGACACCTGCGGTCCAGAGTTTTGCAAATATCTCAGCAACGTTGTGGTTGTATTTCGCTTAGTACTCTGCCGCGAAATTATAGTAGGCAGAAAATAAAAAGGCATAACATTATGATGACAAACTTTAAAAAAATAGAAAAAGGATAAAGCTTTCGGCTTTGATCAAGCTCTGAGGGTTGCGCCATGCATCCGACTTCATTGAGCATCATTAGGGGTGACTGAATGCATATCTGGCTTCTACAGTGATTCGCCGTGGTCTACCGATGTATCGAGCCAATGCTGCCATTCTTCCGGACGAACTTGGTACCAATTTGCCGACACCGGAGGATGGAAGGCTTGCTAAGCCTGAGGGGCGGGATCGATCCAAAGTGTATTGCATGGCGCCTCTAATCGCCGCTCTACACGTGCCCCTTCTCATAAGTTTGTTATGTTGACTTTTCTGGATTCGATATTTGAAGCAAATGTAACAAATTTGGGATGACGCTCTATTTTACTTCGATGCTACATAAGACGACGCCTAATTTTATTTCGTTACGGATCTACTAGTTTTTCAACAATAGACGATAATATTTCCATAACCGGAAGAATTGAGAAAATAAGAACGTGCCCGATTTTTAGAAGGGACTTTTTTCTATTTCTCTATGGGTATGAATCGTGTGCAACTACCTACAACATATCCTCCCAACGAGAAGGAGTCCGATGTTTCTATCCGGAAGCCCAGCTTAAAGCAAACCAATACCATAATTCAAGGGAGCTGACAGCCACGGTGGTAGTCATGCCGCTCATCAAGAGCACGGTACTGGTTCAATCCCGCTCTAGGCTAACCAAACTTCTCATCTCTCCGGGATCGGAAAATTGGTACCGGACCTATCCGGGAAAAAACCACTCTTTGCAATTCAAGTGGGACGCTCCAGCACGTCTCAAGATCTCAAGATTCCTGGGAGAGTCGATTCGACTAGCATTTTACGACATTCAAGAAGAAATGAAAATCTTAAAGCAGCAGCCAAAGCCACGCTTAAAAAGTTGGAAGACCGTGGCGGATTATGGATACCAGTTAACGGATCACATGGTGGAAGTGCTGGAACCCGCATACGAGGTGTGAAAAGCGGGTCCTACAAAAAAAATGAAGTGAAATATCAGGTGATTGACTGACGGGTGATTGCTGATAGCCTTTAAGTTAAAATATGGGTGAGAGAATGGCGAAACGAAAGACTCTCATGGCGTAGTGGCGAACACATCAGCCTCCGGAAGTGGTGATATCGAGTTCGATTCTCACCACACACACCAGCCGTCCGAAGTTTTGCAAATATCTCAGCATAATTATGGTTATATTACACATCATACCTTGCCATGATAAAAGGAAAGGCTGTTAATAAAAGCGTCACTTCATTAAAATACCAGAAATCACTACCGTCTTAACTAGTCGCGTGGTTTACAATCTCCCTCTGAGCCACAAGGGCCGCGATTGCCTGGGGTGATGACGACCTGAGGAAGATGAGGAACGCTTCCGCTAAGCTGACCTCGGAACTCCAGAGAACCGAAATGGCTAAACCACCAAATTTCCGGAAAGTGGAAATTTTGCTGGGACCCGCACAACCAGTGGAGACGGGCAATCCAAGTACCCAAGTATTTAGTACATTTCACTCTTGTCTACAGTACAACCATACTGTATTCAGATTTGAAACTGTTTTACATCTTATGTTGAGTCCATTGCCAGTCAAGTTTAGTATGGTAATCATAAATTCAGTAAATACCAGTCAGTGAAACCGCTCGAGAAAAGATCTTCGGTACAGTTCCAGGTGCAGAAACAGCGTGCATTTCCTGTTCAGTGTCCGCCACAATGCATTGGACGATTTATCGATTGATTGTACTCTAACGGAAGGGTTCTAGCGCTAGTATAAACCACCGAAAAGAACACCACGACTTCCACAGAGGTCATCCCAGCCACAATATCCGCCTGTAAATGATTCCTATGGGAATCAGGTTGTTGTTGAGTGTTAATGTGTTTGCTTTATGTTAACTAAACAACGAAAATTGACGCCCAGAATGATGGGTTTCCAATATATGTTCATTGTAATATCCTCCTTCTGGTGGTACTAGCCCATTAACTCATTTTGAAATGATCTGAGAACGTCTTACTCTTCAAATAGGAGAGCAAACAGCTCAATCCCTGACAACGCAGTGACAGTGAGTGACCTGGGAAGAAACCAGGCTTGAGCGAAGAACGAAATATTATACAGCGCTAAGAACGTACTTTAGTTGCTTTATTAAAACATCCGAACATCTGGTACATCATGTAGGAATTTATATATAAAAAATATGTATAAGAACAAAATAATACTAGCAAAAGAGTACCAGGCGAAAGATTTGTTATAGGTTATTCCTAAACTCTGCTCTTCTTGTGTTGATTCTGGTTATTAATTCAACAAGTAATGATTTTCTTCAGAACATCACGTGAGTGAAGAACTCGAAAACTAAGAAAAGAAGCATAAATAAATGACATAAGTGTAATCCAGTCCATAACAACTACTGACCAGGCAGACAACTGCTTTCATTTTGAGACAAATCTAAACCCCACTACGACCATAATTTTCAAAACAGAATACGATCCTGACCTAACAACATGGACCGCAACCACCATTTAACAGCACCGCGTGCTCTGTGCGCGTCGAACGCATTTATGAACAATTTCCTAACGATTTTAGCAGAGCTCACCAACAAATACAACCACAGCTGCCAAGAATGAGATTTCGATAGGTTTGAACAGTAATAGCTATACAATAGAAGCGATGAAATAAAACATCTAAGACAAAACAACAGTTCCAGAAGACTGATTTTCGACTGCTGTCACATCCAAACCTACAACCACGGTTCGATCCGTGCGTTCGACGATTGTTACTGTTGTGTCTTCAGTGCACATTGGAATTTGAGTGAACGAGCTTATTTCCTTGACGCTCGTAGCGGTAGAAATAGGAATTTTGGTTGCACTTCTTGAACGTTTAATCGTAGGTGCATGACGATCCTTCCTGTCGCTGTCGGCATCCTGAAATAAAAAACTTGCAAGCCTCTCCTAAAATAGAACCCCTGCAAGCTCTTTTGAGTATTTTTGAAGACATTGCCTTGTTTCATAACTGATCAATAATTGTTACTCACCGAATGGCATAACTTCAAAGACGCTGTACTACAACGCCTTTTTCTTATTCCCGGCATCGTGGGAAGTTGAGTTACCATAGTACAAATGCTGAGTTGTTTCATCGAGTCTCCACAGTACGTCGTATCCAAAGTTGTGACTTCTTCGCCGACATTTCCTTTATACAAATTTGTGCCTTCTTCGCCGACATGTCCTTTCTTTCCGTTATCTCAAATCAAACATTAACTTGTTATTTCTTAAATTACTCTTACAAATTTTCTACCACTCTTCAAAAGACTGGCTGATTTCTGCTCGTGATTCTTCCCCTTTAGACGTATAAGTAGCTTGGCTCTTCGCTGATTCCGAATTCTCTGCGATCTTCGCCGCATGGGAATGCCATCCTCATTTTCTTCAAGCTCTTCAAGATCAACGTTGTCAACAATTTTCTCGTCATCAGGGTCCTGAAATATTATCCAGATTGGTCTTCAAGCTTCTTACTATACCTTAAAAACAAAAAAGTGGACATATATATGTAACTCCTTCCTGTATCTATAGATTTATGTCTCTAACTTTACATAGTTCTCTTTTCATAAATTATAAATGATGCGTTTTTTAAAGAAATCTCTGCAAATGAGCAAATATCCGCTATATCATCACATAAAATCTGCACAGATCATGAATTCCCATGCAAAATATAACATTATGAAGCAAGTAGCCTGAAAAAAAGATTACGAACGCTTACAAACCCATATCTACTTAAAACAGCTGAAAACACGGAGACAACAAACATATGAGCAGTACTCGGAACTTCAGGTCAGCTCTTTCCGGGAGCCCATGTAATTGCGGGCCCCAGGAAAGGGTAATCGCGAGTTCGAAACTCACCTGGAGCTCAGAGTTTTGCTCATATCTCAGAATCACTGTGGTTTAATTTCACATAATAGTTTGCCATGAGAAAAATGATAGGCAGCAAATAAAAGATAAACAGTGTGATATCACTTTAATGATGCTGAAATATTTGCAAAACTCTGGACCGCAGGTGTCTATGGTGGGCAATGAAAGTGTTATTGTCCTTTCCGGAGAGTAACGCGTTCACCACCACACCATGCGGGTCCTTCGTTTCGCCTGTCTCTCAGCTATTTCTATCGATTTCTATTGCAAATATCTCAGCAACGTTGTGGTTGTATTTCGCTTAGTAGCCTGCCGCGAAATTATAATAGGCAAAAAATAAAAAGGTATAACATTGTGATTTCAACTACAGCCGCAGCTTAACTGGGTTCTATGCCGATTTGGGCGCCCCAGATCAACCCCGCTGACGGGTGATTGCTGTGGCAAAAAGATCGATAGAAATAGCTGAGAGACAGGCGAAACAAAGGACCCGCATGGTGTGGTGGTAAACGCGTTACTCCCCGGAAAGGACAATAGCGCGTTGGTTCCCCACCATAGACACCTGCGGTCCAGAGTTTTGCAAATATCTCAGCAAAGTAAATAAAGTTAAAAGTTTGATATTAGCTGAGGACAGTTGAAATATGAGATGCGAACAAAGAAGAAAACGATAGCGAACTAACTTAAATGAGAAAGAAAAAACAACGGCAAGTTACTAGTCAAATACTAAACTATAAGAAGAAACCTTTCTATACAGCTATCCCATGATGAACTGTAAGACTAAACTATAAGACCTTATAACATAACTACAACATTAACTTTAGAATCTTTTGCAGTAGTAAATCGTGATAAAAACTAACCTCGGCTTCAGATGTGCTAACTAAAGACAGTAATGATCGCTTTCTAGGTCTTCTTCGTATTGTTGGCATTGGTCGAGCCCGACCCTTTGAACTGGCATACCATGGCTCGTCCGAAAATGTTACCGACAAGTTAGAGAGCTCTTCGTCCTTTAAAAACTTTCGTATATCAACAAAATAAGAAAGCGTTTAATAAATCTAGATTCGTCAATTAAAACCTTTAAGGAGAAGAGAAAAAAGAAACTTGCTTACTGTTGGTACCGATCCAGGGCGATAGGTGCATAAAGGCACAGCTTCCATGCGCTCTCCACATCTTCGGATGGTAGGTATAGTGAAGCCTGTGGCATGAGACGCCATACGATCCGGATTTTCGAATGGAGTGCCAGCGATGTTATTGCCAAGACTGCCGCAGAAATAGAAGTTTTCGACCAGAATTACGCAAGACATTAAGGGTTACAAGCTGGTTCGATGGATTTCAGGAACATTCGCATCGATTTATCAATGAGCTTAAGATGAAACAGAACCTACGCGGAAAATCTTTTCGCAAATTCTCGAAAATAAGCGCATACTCTTCCAATAACTTCCCGTGTTTGAAAGCAAAGGTGACGAGGCCGATAAGGCTGAAACGAATGGCGAAATTCGAACATAATTTTCTTTTTGCTTACTTCCGTTTAACGTACTATGTCACCAACTTGAACTCACTGTTTTGTTCCCAGGTCGTCGTCGAAAGTTAACATCCATCATGTTAGGATACCTCGCCTTTGAGACATAAGGAAGAATTCCTGGTGTCTTATCATTTTTTGGCACCTTAAAGAAAACCATTCCGAATGAAAACTCTAAAGTTGCACAGAAGTGTCACCACTTCACTAAAATATCTAGATAACCTACGGTGTCATTTAAATATCTACCCTGAGAGTGAACAGAATTCAGTGGAACTTTAGAGGATAACGTCGTGGTCACTAAAACATAAAACAACATTCTTTAGCTTTAAAACCCATCACATTTTACAATAGTAAGATACAAACGACGATTATCTCTCTCATTTTAACTAGGCTCCCAACGGTTTACCGCCTGATCGTGGCTGGAACTGTTCCTGGGCGTTGAGCTGCGATGTACAGCGGGTGGAATTCATCCTCTCTCAAGGTCTCCCAAGCTGAAGAGCCCGGTGTTTCCATCAGGAAGCCCAGCTAAGAGTAAACCAATACCAGGATCCACCACCGGCCTGCTATCAAATTAGTCGCATTATGGTAAATCTTCCTCTGATCTATAAGTGCAGCGACTACCTGCGGTGGTCAAGACCCGGGGCAGACTTTGGCCAGGCTGACCTCGGAGCTCCAGGGAAACACAATGGTTAAACCAGTAAAACTCCGAAAGTGAAGGATATGCTGAGGCCTCGTCAACCAGTGAGGACGGCCTGTCCAAGTAAGTAAGTACATATTTTAACTAAGCACACAATTCGATATCCAATGAAATAAAAATTCGTAACCGAACTAACTTTCCAACTTCTTCATATTTTTCTGCAGAAGTACGTCAGTGGTTTGTGATACCTTCCTGGAAATTACTTTCAAAAACTGCTTGGTACATTCGTCCTAAGATCTGATGCAAAGAGCTCAATTTCAAACTTAGTACCTAAGGCTTACCTAGGATAGTAACAATGCTTTAACAGAGCATCTTCTATTCGTTCTAGCGTTTTAAAAACAACTATTTCGTCAGATGACTGTAAAACAGACGGCACAATTACTGGTGATAATGACATGCCACTGAGTTCCTGAGCTAGAAACCACTTCATTAAAAAATTATAATGTAGAGCAAATAGAACAACAATCACAGATAGTCTTTGAATTCACTTTAAACACCACATGTCTCTGAACAGGGATCTAATTGTTACCAGAAAATTTTTACGATTAAAATGCACATTTATCCGAAAAGTACAATTGTAGTGTTCATATGTAAAAAGAAACAACAGAATTGCGACAGAAACAGAATAAACACGTGCCAAGAAACTCACAAGTCGAAGGTGGACACCGCGACAACGATGCTTGAGAAGTGAGAGGGACATTAACATCACCATCTTCATCTTGCGGATCCCAAATTATGAAAAACATGTTTTTACTGCCATTCTCATAATCACAAATACACACAAGCGCACGAGATAGACAAATACCACCACGATACATATGGATACTGTCTCCGACTGAATAGAGAACGGTCCTCACCTCTTCATTCTTTTTGCACGTTTTCCACACGACTAATACGATGAAGGCTTTGGGTAAGTTCAGAATATAGAGACTACTATCTACCTTATAGAGAATGCTTTCAATTTTGTCACGTTACTATAGACTTTCCATGTTTGTTATATATAATCTTATGCATGCGACTTGACATCTTGACAGGATAAGATCTGAACACCTGGCGAACCTTCAGTCAGTCCTCATAAACACACTGGCACGGCTTTTCAAAGATCCGAATGCAAATTCACTCTTAGAGGAAGACCAGCAGGACCGTGCTATTGTTCAAGAATGGTGAACTCCACGATGTCAGTTATTGGCCAATCTCCTTGCTGTCTGTCATCTACAAACCTCTCAACTTCTCACTCGAACCATCCTAAACAGGATTCTCACCTAAATAGGAAGGACGAAGGACAGCCATATGAGCAAGCAGGATTTCGAAAAGGATTTAGTTCGATGGACCACATCCACACGATAACAAGGCTCATTGAATATCACGAGAGTACAAAAGACCGCTCTGTCTCACTTTCATCGATTTACAGGCCTTTGATTCAATTGAGACGGAAGCAGTCATGGAAGCCCTTGATAGTCAAGGAGTCCCTACTCAGGACAAAAAGATTCTTCTTGAGTTGTACAAGAATTTCACAACCAAGATATCACCATTCTACAACGATATTATCATTGATGTCATTGATTATCATTGATGATTTACCGCCACCCTCGATAACGTCACGTGAAGATTGGAATGGGATAATATGGGAGTGAAAATCAATAGTCAGCAATTACACTATCTTCGGTTTGCTGATGACATCGTCCTTATAACACCAAACATTAACCAAGTGGAACGAATGCCGACCGACTTTAATAAAGCCTGTGGAAAGACTGGTCTTGGACTAAATCTCACAAAAACGATGTTCATGAGGAACGGACTGGTTTCGCATGGCCCATTCACGCTCAACGGAACGAACATCTCCGAATGCTCCAGTTATAACTATCTAGATCGGTAAATCAATATGATGAACGACTTAGCTCCAAAACTAAGCAGAAGCAAATGAGCGGCCTGGGGAGCGTTCACGAGCATCGAGGATATAGTGAAGAGAACAAAGGACATCCGACTCCATGCCCACGTTTTCGACTCAACGAGACTTCCTGCCTTAACGTATGCGTCAGAAACTTCGTCGCTGCGTAATCAGGATAAAAGATCACTTAGCGTTATAGAACGCTCAGCTGAAAGGCCGATGTTAGGAGTATCCTGCCCATGTCATACAAGTAAGGGATGGGATCCGAAGCTCCGACTTGCGTCAACAATCTAAACAAAGATGCCGTTCTGTAGGTCAAGCAGACGAAGATAAGGTGGGCCGCACACGTAATGCGTGTGAATGACAACGGATGGATAAGAGCCGTTAGTGACTGGATTCCTCGGGATGTCAAACGCACTGCAGGAACACCACCGACCCGATGGTCAGAGTTCTTCACGAAAACCCTAGAAGAAAAGTAAGATCCTCAATGACTCTGCAGAGCGAGTACACTCCCTGGGCTAGTTTTTCACGCGAGAGGGAAAAATAGAAGTTTTACTGGCGCCCGCTCGAGTCATTCTACGATCAACGGGACGACATGATACACGTGAGGTGATGTAACTGGTAATGCATTATATAATATATATATATATATAATCACCTTTCTCGCAACTACTGCTGTGCCTCCATACCCAGGTGTATCCGGTGGGCATAGCAATCTGACATGTCACAGGGACATTGTGATCGTTTCCGCCTTCTCCAAGCAAAAATCGCGTTACTCTATAACGTACACCTTGCTTCCATCATTTCTTCTCGAACTCCTCCATTCTATTAGATTCCTATTGCTAAGCGTCCTCTTCTCATAATCATTGGTTGTATAAGAGTTGTCTCTCCTCAAAATATACCGTTAACCGTTTTAGAAGTCTCTCATTGTAGGCACACCTCACTACTCCATTACCACACTGTTCCCACTGGCTCTAGCTTGTTGCTCCATCGCTTCGTTAATAGACTTTAATTGTTGAGATCTACACTCATATATATATATATATATGCATATATATATGGTATTTTCATGATGGTTTCCTTCTTGCTTACAATACCTCATGAATTTATTGTATACGCCTCTCGATTACTATGAGTGCATCTTCTTACTTATACTGTTCTTGCCTATCGACCACGTTATATGAATTATGTACACAATTCTTGATCATGTGTTTGTAACTGTTGTGTTACTATTATTTATAAAGGTTTAACTATGCAAGTTTGAGATTGCGAGCTGCTGCACCTACACACAATCTCCGTGGCGGGTAGGAAACACAAAAGAGACTACCACACAAACTAATCAACATATATGTATACATATGTATATACATATATATATGTATATGTATATATCCACTTATACGTTCACAGACGCACATAACAAGTCCAACATGATAAAATAAAAATTTACCTGAACCGTCTTTGCCGACGGCATAGAAGCTGGTGTGCTACAAGGACCTTTACGCAGAGAATCCACCTTAAAATCCAGACTGCATAATGCAGCCTTTCTTTTTTGAAAAGAACCAAATGGATGAAATTAGGCAACTTTTTAGCAAAGAGAATTATACCATATAAACAAATCACAAACAATCACAAAGGTAAATCTAGCTTACACAATCACTTTAATCTTCCACTAAGTCCGACTTTCTTACCTGAGAACGTGTGGGAATAAATGGCACTTGGAAACCAGACGTGGTTTGACTTTGTCTTCCTTTGTCAGTTGTCGAGCTATATGATGGTTTTTGTTGCAACAGTACTGCAACATCGTTGTTGTCCCGATGAGTCTAAAACGAACCTTTCACCTTATTTCAACCCTATTTGCATAATCGGTTATAAGAATAGCGGGGTAAAAAGAAAGGAATACACATATCGCTCATGATGCAGTTCAAATATTTTAAGGAAAAAAATGGATGGTACAGCTATCGCGTACCATTATCATGAAAAATAATGAACGCAAGTGATACAAAAGATATGGAAGTTTATGATGTACGACTGAAAATGGACTTGTATACAAGTTCTTGTAGAATCAAATGTAGATCCTCGAGACCTTTCTTTGATAAAATAAGATTTGTATTGGATCCCAAACTTTATCTCAAGACCATTTGTATCGATTCTTCCAAAAGAAACTACACATACACGTTATCTACGTTCTGTTCGGGCAAGGATAGCGAAGCGGTAGATATTTCGTTCGCTATTATAACGCAATGCCTTGGTATACCTCGGAGTTGGGACGACAAAGCATCCCGTCTCTCCATGGCCGAGAGGTTGCCTGGGAGCTTCCACTCAACTCATAAAGGTTGGAGACAACCTGTGGTGAAGACCTAAGAATGCCCTAGCAGGCAGCTACCTCTAGCCTCATAGGTGAGACTAGTCTGGTATTCAGTGACATTCACAGAAGGCTAAAGTCTACAACCATCCATTGCAAATGTGAAAGTTTTCATGAGTGATAGGTGATAGGGAACGAAGTGAATAGAAGAAGTGTCTGGAACCGCTCCGCATAAACGAGGTGTAGGGTTATATAAAAGAAAGTGTTTACTAGTAAATGAAAAAATCCAACTAAAGAAGCACTACATTTAGTACGATCGCTCTTTTCATCATTTATACCCCACACCAGAAGTAAAGATCTAGCTCGTAATTAATCGTGGCGCAGGAGTCACGTTGGTTGTTTGGCAGCCATGTAAAGGATTCTGCCTCAAGTTAAATTGGGCGTATAGTGACACGCTGAGCTTCAACTGTTACCACTCTCGTGATGACGCCCAATTTTTCGCTGCGCTCAATGTGACCCCTACTGGTGTTAGACCAACCAATGCGACTCAAACCTCATCATAGCAAACAAGAGGAGTTATTCTTGACCTTTCCAGGTTTATCATAACGATTGAGAATTAAGAAAAAATGAATTGCTTCTCAAAAATGATGCTGCAGACTACATGCGTTTTAAGTTCCTCGAGTCAGAAGTCACATTCTCTGGTCACACACCCTCAAAAGCAACTGTCTTTTGCCGAAAAATGAGGAATTGGTTGAAGATTATTAAGAAGACGTCCTCCATAGGAGACGCCCGCCAAAGCATCTGAGTTCTTTAAGATACTGTTTGATTATAAGAAAGGAATAGAAACAGTAATAGACAGAAATAGAAAACTAAACAAATGTTATGAAAGAACAATGGAATGATGTGATGGACAAGCATCAAAATGTAATAACAGAAGGGTCATAGTTTCGAAACCGACTTTCCTTGAACCTCGGCATCACTAATCAATATGTATTCTTTCTTTGGTGAGCTTACACGAGGTTGATAATGATATTTATTTTCGGCTAACGTTTCGACGTCTTCGTCTTTCTCAGAGTCGATGATCCGAGTCGATGGTCCATGCTTGTTATTCGTCTCGACCTGGCAGCTTCGCCTTCGTGTCGAATTAAGTATTCTTCAGTGAGCCATCTCCTCGAATGAGACATCCTTACTCAGTGATGCCCTTTTATACACGATGCTGATGGTCGATATAATGTCCGGTGATAACAACTTGTTTTTCTTCCGGACATACATCATTGCGCACATCGTGCAGAAGTCGGTGTTGTTATCAGCTGAGGAAGACCTGACTGGACACGAAGGCGAAGCTGCCACGTCGAGACGAATAACAAGCATGGACCATCGACTCGGATCATCAGCTCTGAGGAAGACGAAAAAGGGTGATAGCTTTCCAGAGTAAGATGGCCGACGGCCTAAACCTAGAAATAGCTATCATTTTATTTGTCTGTTTCACATAACCAGAAATCAAACACTACGGGAATCCCAGCACTTCTTTTACTCGATCCTCACTCACTTACTCGATGTCTGAGTCTGCAAACGTCTCTGAGTGCGAGTGGAGCGGATTCTCCCTGGAATCTTGCAGTAGCGGT